CCACTGATGCGCAGTTGCCGAGACACTTTCACCTCCAACAGCAGTGGCTGTCTGTCGTCATCACACATAGCCTCAGCCGGCACTGCCCTTCGTCTCCATATCCATTTACATACCCGACATCACCATCATCCTCTGGCCTGCAGGTCACCCGCCCCCGTGCCGGCAGGCCTCATATGCTGTGGTCAAACCTGCATCTGCCTCTACTTCGAGATGGCATTGCAGCCTCGGCCAGCAGCCACCCGTCTCACCAACTCCTTTCGGGACGCGGTCAACCAACAGCGGCCACCACCCGACGACCGTTGGTCGCCTTCTCTCGGTGAGGAGCGAACTGGCCTCATCTGCCATCTCTCTTTGGGCTTCCGGATGCCTCCGGCAAGGCAATCCGTCACCCAGCCGCCGGTGACCGTAAAGTCACACTCACAGACACAGTCACACCCCTCAATCCCTCTCTCTCGTTGGTCGCTGTCAGGACGAAATCGTGCCTGTCGTGCACCGCACTCTCTCACAAGCTTCTCTCCCGTGGGTTACGGGGACACAGTCACATCACACAGAGATAGATGCCCGGGAAAGGTCCGATGCTGCAGGAGGCTGCGACGCCAACGTCGTCCAAAAGACGCCCTCGTCGTCGCCATTAAACTGCTATGCAGTCAGGTCGAGATGGCCCACGATATGACCTGCTTCCCATCTGCCTAAACCTATCTCCACGGCCCGCATCGCGCAGATCCCTGCAACATACATACACATCCAGGATTGCCCGCTTCTCGTTTTCCTTTCTTTACCCCAACTGCATTCCCCCGGCTTAACGCCCGAGTGAGACATCCTGGAAGACGCATGCTTCTTCTGATAGATACCCGTCTGAACCATGACATGCCGTTTGGAGACTGGCGGGGTCGACTGCAGCGCCTACTGACAACATACCCAGGCGCATCTCGCGTCTGCGTCAAAATTCGGATTCAGACTGACAGCTTGGCTTCCAGCACCAGACATGACACTCACTCGACTCTCGCCATCCCCGACATACATGCTGCTCCTCAACTCATCGCAACACCACGCGAAGCCCGTATTCCAAATCCCTCGCGACATCTTGCATCATGAATCATGGATCTCCAACAGCGCGCTCGCAAAACAACATCAATACACCCCCATCGACGACGACGCGCCATCTCCTCGTTGCGACCAACTACCTATCATAGTCCATGTACACCGCTTCGCACTCCAACTCGTCGTCCACTTCCAAAGCACGCCAAGTTCTCGCTCTACACCATCAGGCGTCCCCCCGTTACGTCTACATCAACATTCCCCGATCAAGCCACCCTCGACCTTGTCTGGACCAGCAGCGCCCTTTCGCCCTAGTCCACGACGCCTCCAGACTTCAACCATGCACTCAAGATGCGAGATTCTCGCCCTCTCAGCGCAGCAAGGGTGCAAGGGTTCCCAGTCCCTACGCCGATCCTCCCTCAGCCTCCCCGCCGTTTGTCGTCGACGACCTCCCGTCGCTCTTCCACGACCAACCCCCACCCTCCAAGACGAGGCCTCCTCTAGCAAAACAAGGACGCTCTCTCTCCAGTCTTCCGCCTCCTCCGTCCACTCCTTCTCGACATTGCCGTGCCCCCTCGACCACACCCTTCCCCCTTCCCCTTGCGCCAATCCCAGGCTTCCGCTCAACCACAACATGGGTAGCAAACGGTCGTCGTCGACCCTGAACAAGCCGTGTCGTCCTGCTGAGTGGCTCCGGCCGCTGCCTCTCCGATGGTCTTAGTGGTCGACTGTCAATATCCATCTCACCTATAACGACGGCTATGTATGCGGCCAGTGTCACCCGCAGCAGTTCGCAGCCGCCTCCCGTGTGGCCATACATCCCGACGCTGCGAGCACGACATGTCCTCGACTCGTCTCATCGTCGTTGCCGTCGCCGTCGCTTGGTATCGTACGTGATTTGGTTCCCCCCTGCTGGGAACATGTAGCCAAGTGGACTCGCATCTCAATGCGAAGTCTTCCTCCTCGGACTGAAGCGCTTACATTATCTGTTTGCCCGTTTGGTAACTGAACGGCGGTCACCAGAGCGGCCGCATGGGGAACATGTCAGACAAATCACGACTAGCCTCCGCTCACCCTTCTTCCCGATCCTCCACACCACCAGCATGCCTCCTCGCCCTCCCAGCAGCACCCCACACTCGATCTTCTCTCACTCGAGCAGGACATCACCCAATACTTCTCGTATTGTCTTGTTCCCCTGTACCTAACCATTCCCATGACTTGCCCCTTACCCAGGCCAGCTTCGCCACAGGCCCGCTCGCGAAGACCTCTCGCTGGCCTCGAGCTAATACCCCATATTCTTGCCATGCTGATGGACAAGCCACGTCCAGCCACCGGACTAGTTTGAACTGTAGCCCTACGGCGGCGCCATGTCAGACCTAGTTGGTTCAATTTAGGAGCGAGCACCAGCCAGCTCAGACGTAACGTGGATTCCTTCACTCACTTGAGATATGAAGTCCTCTGTGGCTATCCTTCCTTCACCTTGCTGTCACCCGCTAGGTGCAATCACCTGGGGACCCTTGTCACTCCGCAACTGCCATTCCGACTTCCGATTCCTCTCCTTGGGCGAATGAGAGCGCCTTGCCGTTGTCTTATGCTTAACAGCAATCCCGAGCCGATGTCCAGCCAAGTCAAGTCGCTGCTGTGGCACTGACCCTGCCGTGGTCTGCCGCGGGCAGAGTGGTGTGTGTCCTCCAAACAGGGAACCGGTTGCTAGCACGACGCCGTTTTCATGGGCAAGGTCCATCTGGCACACCCTCTTCTACGAGATCGTCTTTGCTCTCGATATCTTGAGCGCATCACTCAGAGAACCCCATGATCCCCACCCATCCATCATCCCCGGCGCGTTCCACTTCGCCTCTGCCAGGCGTACCGTCTTCTTTCCTCTTGATGGTCGTCGGTAGTCTCGGATCTTGCCCTTGCGACGCGTCGTCCGCGAAGGTCCATGTCGATACGGGAGCTTCCTCGCCCCAGGCTTCAGACATATCCACTCTGGTTGTAGCGGAAAGGTGACATTCCCGCACGGCTTGGGCAGGCTACGATCAGAGAGTACCCTTTGATGTCTCTTGAATACTGGGTGACTGGGGTCTCTGGCAGGCTTGATGGGGCTGGCCTGGTCTGCTGATCAAGGCGCAAGAACTCTCAACCAGCATACTCCGTGATGATCTAGACGTCTCCGAGGCCCCATGCCATCGCAAGGTACGCGGTGATCATCCTCACCCCGAGGAGCTTTTGTTCCCGTCATATCAACATCATACAGTCCAATATATTGACCAGCTGCCGTCTCTTGCTGTGGCTCACCTCGAACCCGGGCGCGGGATGTGGCGCTCCACAGCCACTCGGTCTCGAAGGTCGTGTCTGTTGGCCCATCTGGAAGCCTGTTTTCATGCGAGAAATCGTCGAGTGCCGTCCAATCACGTAGCTGGCTGCCCAAGACCAGATCAAGCCACAATCCATAACTCTGGGATCCAGATGGCCTAGCCGGCGGCTAGGCGGTCACGGACGATACGCCCGTTTGCTTAGCAACCCGGGGGGGTTGTGACTTGCCATGTGACTCAGACCTGCGGCCAAGCGGTGTGGATGGATGTCTCACAAGCTGCCTTTCTATGGAGGCGCGTCTGCTCGGGGCTGGGTAGTCGCTGCTGCTTCGTATCAGTATTGCAGATAAGCCTTGGAGCTCGTTTTGGGTCGCCATCTGTCTACACGCATGCATCTCTCAACCTCACTCTATTTACATGGTGTATGATGAGGAGGCCAAGGAAAGTGCCGGCACGACTATTCCCGATGCAATTCAGTGCGTGTCGGTAGTCTGTTTACATCTCTAATCCGCAAGTACAAATATGTCATGAACACCCAGTCGGGACTGGGCATTACACCGGGACTGGCGAGATGCAGCCTTCTGATTTGCTACAACGAGTGTCTGTGTTTTGATCAGCTGGACGTGAGAATCTCTCGGGGAGGTTGCACAGTTTCAGCTGGGTATCGTTGAATGTGGACTTTGCCCACCCCCCTATGAGGGTTCTACGATATGTGTGTCTTCGGAAGTGAGGGAAGGCTGGAGAGAACTCGTTGTGGGACATTTTCGTGATGGTTTCCTGAGACGGCAAGCAGCATGGTGATGGATGCAGAGGCATCTGAGCAGCGGCGCCACTGGAGGAAGATCTCCTAATTTTACGACATGTTCTCAACAAATCCTTAGGGAGCTAGACTGTGAATGCTATCAGCGCAGCTGCTCTGAGGAAGAAGGGGGAGGACGACATTCCCACTTCGATGTTCTGTTTCCCCGCGTTTGTGTTCTCAGGGCCTTCTGTCTTTTCAAACGAAGCCAACGTTCTTGACAGGTCTTGTCAACTGGTGAGGACCGACACAGAGTAGACCATCATTTCTCCAAAGATGACCCGTCAACAGGAAACGGGTAAAAGGATAGCAGAGGGGTTTGGGTCTCGCACAAGCCCACAGCTCCTAGCTGGCCTTACTTTATTCGAAATGTGAAAGGATTGAAGAACGTGCTGGTTCATCGTTGAATAGAGCGTAAAACTATCTGATTTACAAACGTGAGTCACAATCATGACTGATAGGCGATTCGCTTTCTGCCGACGGATCTGAACCCCGGAAAGAGCATTCTTACAGCTTCTTACAGCTGAGAAAGCCCCTGAATGTTATTACTTCTATAGTGGTAGCGTTTTGCTTTTAGCTGGCAGACCTGTGAAGACATGCAAAAACAAGTCGAAAGTTATCATTCCCGATTTTCGTCACTAAACGTGCCGGTCTCTTAGATGTTTAACTTGTCACACAATCATCGATATCGTGTAGGACATTTACCATTTAGCTGCTGCTGACGTCGCTCAAGATCGGCAGGATTCGTGTGAGATATTGAGAACTATCACCGTTTCACACAGCACAGCACTGAAAAACGAGCTATGAACTTTTCTTTTTCTTCTATATCCAAATGACTGTACAACAAGCTAGTAGACGCGATGGTCGTACTTGGCCCTCATCGTCTGTCCTCTTTTCATAACAACCCAGGGTATCGGCGCCATAAGTAAAGCAAATGCGGCAAGAATGGTGTTCCCCCACCCGAGACCCAGAGCATCGTAGAGTGGAGGGCCAGCAAGGGGGAGAAATGCCCCGAAAATACTGCGGATGATTGTCGAAGCAGCGAGAGCAGAGGCGGCGTGCATAGTAAACGCGTCGACAAGGTATGAAGCCAGAGGAGTCTGCAATGCTCAATTAGCATAGTTCGTCATCCATGCACACAAGAATGATGACCTACAAAAACAAACATGATGCCCACGCCGACGATGGCAGTTCCGATCATTGGCACAAGCCAGAAAACCCCTTTTTCTGCCGTCCACCCATACAAAAGCAACCCTCCCGGGATCATGGGCACCGAGTATGCCATCAGAGGGAGGCGAAATTCAGGCTTTCGCACACCTTCTCGTAGCAATAACGAGGCTGCCAATCTGTCACCCCAAAAAGATACCAATAAAGTCCCCAAGATACTGCCAATGCCAATGCCTATGAATGTCAGTCCGGACGAGCCAGCAGAGAAGCCGTATTTGTCAGTAAAGACCATCGGGACGGTGGTAAAGAAGAGATACTGTGTAACGATGTTCAGCTACATGTGCGATCGGAGGAGATGATTTGCTCACAAGATATCCGTAGATAATGGCAAAATAGGCGGAAAGAATGAGAACGATGGGATGGAGGACTAGAAGACGAAGCGGGCGCTTGATGGCTCGTGAAAATGCTTCGCCTGGCGATATACCGTCATCTAGGACTGACGTGTATCTCGAATCTCCAGTCTTCTTTCGTATTTTCGTGGTTCGTTTCTCGAGCAGTGTCTTTGCTGAGGTTTCTCGAAGGAAGAGAAGCATGACGATTCCAAGAAAGCCTGCCTGTAGAACAATGATCGTGAGCAATTTGTTTTAAGAATTGAGTGATTGAGATCACTCACCATGATACTCAAAGCCCAAAAAGTCCATCTCCAGCCGTAGAACTCTGTTAAAAAACCACCAGCTGCAGGCCCAAGAACTGGACCCAGTAGAGGGGCGAGAGAGTAGACGGAGACCGCTCTGCCCCGTAAGTCCGGAGGTGCGACATCTGCGATGGTGCCGCCGCCGATAGAAAGCGGAGCTGATCCCGCACAACCGCTGAGGAACCGGAACAGCAAGAGGAGACCGAGATTAGGGGACACGGCACATGCGGCGTTGCAGGCAAGGAAGAGAATATTCGAGACGCTGTACGCAGAGTATCGTCCGTAGAGTTCCGACATAGGTGCTGCTAGCCTGTCTTTTGTAAGCTTTGGATGGGAAGAAGGAGGTCCTAAAAGGGACTTTCTCTAATCGCCCTTCAGACTGTCAAATGAGAAGACTTACACAGGACCAAATACGAATCCCAGGTTGAAGATGGACACGACTAGTGAAGAAAGTACCCCCTCAGGGGCGTTGAACTCCTTGAGAACCTCCCGTACTGCCGGGGCGGGCATCGAAGATGCAATTGCACTATAAGCCCATCATAGTTAGAGGATCCGAACGCTGGATGAAGATTTGGTCTCAATGAGCTACTCACGCTTGTAGCGTCGAGACACTCACAAGCACAATCTGTGTCCACCTTGAACTCATCGCCCAATTCATCGGGTTCTTAGGGTCGCGTGGCTTGTTCCAGTCGACTATGAATTCGCCAGAAGCCGAACGAATCTTCTCCTCCTCGGCAAGCATCAAACTGTCTTTCGCAAAGTACGGCGATCGAGCGGATTCGTCGTCATCGGGAATGCTGCTGAACGCGGTGCCCATGTACAGACTCAGCTCGTCCACGGGCCCGGGAGGGCCATTGGCGCCAAGATCGAACCATGAGAATCCAGACGTCCTCGTGGCCTGTGATGAACTTCCACAATCACTGACAGCCGATCTTCGTCTGGATCCAGCCACCGGTGGTGGATACTGTGGCTCCATTTCCTCGATCGATCGTAGGGACATCGAATCGTGATGTTTCGCGGCAGCCATTTTGAGCCGGTATCGTTTCGTGCCTGGGCTTCACGAAACGGAAGTGGAAAAGACCATCCGAATCGCTTGTCAATAGACGGTGGGAATCATTGAAGTGAACATGAATTGATGTGTTGACGAAACAGCGGCCATCTGCATGTTGGGTAATACGCAAAGAGCAAGTTTCTACACAGAGCCGGAAGAAAGGAAATGTTCACTCTGTCACCGGGCTTAACCGCACTTGCGTTTCAATATTACCCACTTGCCGCAGTCAAACAATGATTTAATCAGAGTAAGGCAGGCAACTGCTATTCTGGACGGCGCAGCTTCGTGGACAAGACGCCGACTCCACAAATCGAGGCACTGTCATTTGCTTCAGATAGATTTGGGAACAGCCACCGTGGCGGGCAGCCCGCATGGCTTCCAATAACCAGATCCAAGGGGCCGGGCATGGCCGAGACTGGCTTATGCGGCTTTGTTATTGACTGGCGTACGTCACGGCCAGTGAACTGACATGCCAGTGGTCCGAACTCTTTACCAAGAGCATACCGCACATCCAGAATCCATAGGTCATTAACAGAATGTTCAGCTCATAGTAAGATTTTACTATACGTGTCGGTCTGATGGTAGTTGTAGACTTCGCGCCCCTGTTTCAAGTCGTTCGAGAAATGATTACTCATTGGCTGGCCCGGGATCTGAAAGTATAAACCGGCGCTGTCAAACCCAATGTAGTAGCAGGGTTCCTGGTCGAAAGGTGGAATAAGAGATCAGATATTTGTGTTATGTAAGATGCCCAACTTTCCGTAATATTGGGATCGGTTTGATGTGGCTTTAAGACGTTGCTATTGTAGATGCGGTGATTGTTCTGATATTTTTTAAAATACGATTGAAAGCTCGAAATAAATAATATCCCCTCAAGCCCTCTTCTTGCTTTACTATTCTCCCATTGTAAATTACTATTGCAACGTTAACCAGCTGCATTAATTCAATAAAGTGAGCGAAGCCTTCACCTTCGAATATTCAAATTCAGAGTCTTGAATTAGAATTCACTTTCAGTTAAGCTAATACTATCCTATCTTGAAATTTTACTTCTGCATCTTTTAGGTAATGTTAGCTTGCTTCTCTTGTTTGATGACACTATATATCTCCTTAGATTTGTCAAGGACTTACGCGTTGAAAATTGGAAAGTATAACATAGGAAAGATATCAAGCCTCGAAGTCTCTGAGTTGAATTCACGTTGTATACTGTGTACGGTAATGGAACAAACCGTGCGAAAGAGAGTGTGCGTGTGCTGACCTTGAACCCGAGGTCCTGAGTGATAAAGCACCTCACGTTAACAGTCCGAAGGAAAGTCATGAGTATCTCTAGTACACGTGGAAGATTAGAAGAACTAACCGAATGTGTCTTATTTTGGTTGTAATTTCATCTAACTCAATCTTTGTCAAAGTTACTTCGTTTAGCAGAATAACTTAAGACTTGATATCTAAAGTATTTATTGACCGCATCTTTGTTGGCATAAAAGTGTGTTTCTACGCACTTACCCTAAATCATAGCGTTCTCAAAAATTGACTTGTCGTTGTCAGATTAGTGTGCAAGCGGTGTCATTCGCTACCCATGACCTTGAGGATTAATACATACTACGGCACCGTCATTGAAGTTGACTTGCTCGCCTCCCAGAGGGTTGGATCAATGCAGTTGCCGTTCGTTTAACTACTTCCTCTGTTTGAAATTGGTTTAATGGGAGTTGAAGGCTTTCAAATGGATAGGTACGGCAGACTCAGGCGGTTTCCAGTATGCATGATGAAATAACAATTTCCATTGTTTCGAAGAACTTCATAATGCACATTCATCGTTGCACTCAACCTAGAATCGAAAAATATAGAATTCGTACCACAACCAATGAGTTGGCATGTCTACAAAGAAGAATCACACCCGAACCATCCAACACCTATTAGTTCCAGCGGCCTCAAGATCGAACCAATGCTTCGGAATCTTGATCGTCGCACTAGATTTCCGCACATTAACCCTTAAAGTAGAACAGACTCTGAAGTTGTCGAAGCAAAAACAAGAATGGCCCTCTCAAAAGATGATGGCGTGGACAAGCACACCCATGAAGAGGGCACCAAAGCCGGCAGCGAGCTTGCCAGCCGTAGCAGTCGTCACCACAGGAGGGCTCACGGGCGTAACGCCCGCCGGAGCACCACCAGCGGGAGGTTGAGGCTGAGAAGCACCGCCGGCACCCGAGGGAGGAGACTGAGGAGCACCACCGGCAGGGGGCGCACCACCAGCGGGAGGCTGAGGCTGAGAAGCACCACCTGCACCAGAAGGAGGCTGAGAACCAGGAGCACCAGCGGGAGCACCACCAGCAGGAGCACCACCAGCAGGAGCACCACCGGCGGGAGCACCACCGGCGGGAGCACCTCCAGCGGGAGCACCACCAGCGGGAGCACCACCGGCGGGAGAAACTCCAGCGGGAGCACCGCCAGCAGGAGCACCACCAGCAGGGGCGCCACCAGCAGGGGCACCGCCGGCGGGAGGCTGGGGAGAACCAGGCTGGCCGGGTTGAGGGGCACCAGGCTGACCGGGCTGAGGAGCACCAGGCTGACCGGGCTGAGGAGCACCAGGTTGACCGGGTTGAGGAGCACCAGGTTGACCGGGTTGAGGAGCACCAGGCTGGCCGGGTTGAGGGGCACCAGACTGGCCGGGTTGAGGGGCACCAGGCTGGCCGGGTTGAGGAGCACCAGGTTGACCGGGTTGAGGAGCACCAGGTTGACCGGGTTGAGGAGCACCAGGCTGGCCGGGCTGAACAGCACCACCGGGGGTAGGCTGAGCAGGAGTACCGGCGGGCAGCGGAGAGGGACCAACGGGGATAGGGGCCGGAGGCTGCGGGCAGCCGGTCTTGCAACCCTCGTCGAGAGTGTAGTTGTTGTTGCTGCCATTCCAGACGTACTTCTGACCTGCTTCAGATGCAGGGCAAGACTGGAAACTGCAAGAGTTGTCTTTGCAGACGTACTTCTGGTTGCACGAGTCTCCGGTGCACTTCTGGACCTCGCAGTTGTTTCCGTAGCAGACGACCACGTCGTTGTAATGCTTGCTTCCTGGAGTAGCAAACCCACACTGGCCGTTAGTGCAGACGACCTTGCGGCCACAGTCGTATCCGTTGCAAACGTCAGGGAACCAGACGCCGTCGTAGCAGACCAGACGACGCTGGCACTGAGAACCGGAGCAACCGGAGTCATAGCCGCAGTATCCGCCGTAGGAGACGAACTTCTTCCAGCAGTCATCACCGGAGCAGGGCTGGCCGAAGCACTTGCCACTAGCACAAGGGCTGGGCTTGTAGCAGAAGGGACCGGTGCAGTCCTGGCACAACGGGCAGTAAGTGGTCGTGATGGTCTGGACACCGCTGACGAGAGTGGTTCCGACAGTACTGGTAGCAGTGATTGTGAAGGTGGCGGTAACGGTGGTTGCACTCACACCAGCGGTTGTAGAGCCAGAGATGGTAGCAGCATCCGAGGCGCCAGAGCTAATGCTGGAGACGCCGCCAACGACACGGGCGAAGATGGTCAAGCGGATATTAACCGATGAAAGCTGACGCTTGACGCGAGACTGGGAGGGAGTAAGGACATGACCGCAGCGCTGGTTGGGGTTGCCAGGACAAGGAGTGTCGCACTGGACCTCGGCAACGGCGACCTCATTGGTGCTGTCGACGACATCGCCGCAGTAGCAGTCGGTGCCTACGACACCAGCGTATTGTCTGTTGGTGGGGCAAGCAGCAGCGCACAGTTCAAGAGTCATGAGCGCGGAGGTCAATGTGAGGTTGAATCCCGGGTAGCCAGACGGCGATCCGAAGCAGCCGAGGTTGCTCAGGGTGTTACCTTCGACAGTGATACTGGGAGGGTTGGGTGTGGCGGTGGAAGTGGCAGTGGGCTCGCTGGATGTGAACGTGAACTCGGACGTGTCAGTCGGGTTGGAGTCGGTCAACGTTGAAGAGCCACTGATAACGGCTGAGCCGGTCAGGGTCGATGAGCCGCTGGGAAGGACTGAGCCGGTCAGGGACGATGAGCCACTGGGGAGGACCGAGTTGGTCAAGGACGAAGACCTAGACGTGGCCGAGATGGTTGAAGAGCCGGAAGGGGTCGAGCTGGCAGAAGATGAAGAGCCAAGGGGAACTGAGCTGGCAGAAGAAGATACACTGCTCGAAGAGCTGCTGCCAACAGCTTGACTGGTTGAAGCGCTACGCGAAGTGCTTGGCGTAGGGCTCGAGGAAGCCGCCGGGCTTGTTGATGCCGGAGAGGAGGCCGCCGAGGAAGATGCCGGGTTCGTGGACACTGCGGAGGAAGAGGCTGAGGAAGAGGCCGGGTTTGTTGACACACGAGAGGAAGAGGCCGAGGAAGAGGCTGAGGAAGCCGCCGAGGAAGCCGCCGGGGCGGAGGAAGAGGCGGAGGAAGAGGCCGGGTTTGTTGACGCACGAGAGGAAGAGGCCGAGGAAGAGCTTGGAGCTACTTGAGTTGTTGATACTGTGGTTGACGTGCTGGCGGGGGCTGTGGTTGTCGTTGTCCTTGTCGTTGTCGTGGAAGCTGAAGCGCAAAACAAAGCGCCAGCAGCGTTCCTGGAGCACACCAATCCCCCTGGGCATGCGAAGCCCTCCTGGGTACATTGTTGAAAACATTGACCAACGGGGAATCCGTTCGTACTACCAGGTAGACTGCAGATGGTGCCGTTACGGCTAGCAGTGCATCCATCGTTGCTGGTACAAGGCCCGCAAAGGCGGCTGGCTGTGTTGCATTCCGGGAGCGTGGGATCACGAGCATTGCAGTCTGCGTTGTTTGCGCAAGCATTACCGCAAATGCCGTTTGAGCATGTCGTGCCCGACAGGTTGCCGGCACAATCAGCATTGCTGGTACAGCGACCGCAAAGACCGGTGCGAACGAGACAAGTCGGGCCGGCAGTCGAATCGTTGCAGTCCGAGTTCTGCGTACAAGGAGAACACAGTCCCGCGCGGCAGACCGGGCCGCCATTCTGGCCGGCTCCGGCGCCACCGTTGACACATTGAGCGTTGCTGGTGCAAGCCGTTAGGCAAACTCCAGTCGGTGAACAGACTGAATTTCCGTTGATAGAACAATCGAGGTTTCCGGTGCACGAACGACAAGCGTTGTTAGCACAGACTTGATTGCCTCCAGAAGGAACTCCACAGTTGGTGTTGTCGCGACACGCGACGCATTGGTTGTTGACGCAGACTGGGCGAGCTGTATTCAAATTCCTGCAGACCCCGTCGGCGAAGGTCTGTCCCAAACCGCCCGGGCAAGATTGTTGAGCCCAGACGATTTGGGTGAACATCGTTGATATTCCCAACAACGTGAGCCCGATAGGGCTTGAAAACAACTTCATCTTGGCGATGTGAAAGAGCGTGGGGCAAAAGAGTGTAGAAGCAGGCTCGGTGAGAGCACGTGAGTTGAAAAGAGCGTCTGATAGAGACTGTCTGTTGTGTGTCAGCAGCTACGAGAAAAGAATATGAGTAACGTCCATCAGTGTTCCCTTTATATATTTCTTTCCAACCGTCTTCATCCCGTTGAACATGTTGAAACTATTCCAAAGTCTCGGTCCTCCATGAACTTGCCCCTATTTCGCCCTGTCATTCTCCCCCATCTGTAGAGGAATGCAACTCTTGCCACGGCGGCCCCTCGCAAATAGACATACAACAAGCAAAAAGCTGTTCTGGTGAACAGATACATGTGAATTCCAGCAGAATGCCAGTGGTATGAAGGAGCGTCATTTTGAGACTCAGCCCTGAACGTAGGAACGTAACAATCTCCAGAATAACGATTAGTCGCAACTGGACCACTCGTGGAGAATGAGGTCCCCTTAAAAGTTTTGCGCATCCGGGGTCTTGGCTGAGACGTTACGCTATCGTTAGACATTTGTCTTCCCCCTAAGCCTGTTCCTGACCAACTCCGAATCATGGGTTTTCTGGCTGAGCCTATTCTCGTTCTTCACGCAACGCCATCTTCATTCTCACACCACTGCACTCTCTGTTGTTGCTGCCTCATTAAGCTTTCTGGAGATACCGAGATATTGACAGCAAAGCCTCAGCTGCAAGGGCGCGAGGTGGCGCTTTCTTTTCATCTCAAGTTTGATAAGGATCACAAGTCTCGGCCACTGCGGTGGACATTACGTTCCATGCTACATTCCATGCGCGCGGGCGACACATGACGATAAGGGTAGTCCACCCGGACCAACCCAACCAGCCCCTGCTAGTCGTTTCCAACGGCCTCATGATCGACCAATGCTTAATGTGCTTAGTTTTGCTTGAATGGCGGGGTTTCCCAGTACCCCGGCACCTTGGAATGGCACTCCGCAAACGCGGCCCCAGTCGCGGTGGCCGAACGGGCAGTTCTTGAGGTGATCTGACTGGGGGAAACTTGCGGGGCCGGGATCCGGACCGGGGCGAGCGGTATTGGAGAATTTCTCCGTCCACAGGTCCGTTCTTGGCACTATCCATCAGATAATGTGACCTCCTCTCAACTGCCATGGTAGACTCCCGATTAGTTGACGGCATCTGCAGTTCAAATCAGGGACACAGACAAAACAAGGCTTTTTGGCGGTGGCATGCCATTGAACGGGAATCGTCACCCTGAGGCCTTCGATGCTTTCGAGACCTTCCTTCCTCGTTCCTGCTATATCTTTGGGCTTTCTGTGTTCCGAGCAGTTGAATTCCCACATCACGACGCTTGCTAAAATAGTGAAATGATCCGATTGGGTCGCATAAGATGCATTTTTTGGTTATTCTGACCATGATCTCTATCAGCGTAGGATCCGGAAACCAGTGAGATTATTCTTGAGCCTCCAAGTATTCACGATCCTTCGTGATAAGTCCACCAATAATGGTCACACGGAAATCATGCACGTTTATCTACGGAAGCTCATATTCGAACAACAGTATTCTCCTCGGCGGCGTCTATTTAATCGTTCCAGACATCCTTCTTCATCCAAGCTCATATTCTTCACCAAGCTCTTCAAAAGTTCTTTTCACTTTTAGCCGCAGCCTCTGAATCGCCAACATCCTGATCATCATGTACTTCTCCAAGACCGGTATCGTAGCCTTGTTGGCGGCCTTGCCGTCTACTCTTGCCTGTCTCGGATACGAGGGCGGCGTTCCTGTTGCCACCAGCACCAAGACTAACAGCAAGGTCATCGAGGTTGCCGCTGGCAAGACTTTCGACGGTGGCTGGGCCAGATACGACCGTGGCTCTGGTGCCTGCAATGAGCAAGCCGAAGGAGGTGAGAGCCGAGAATACCGCAGAATCCGAGAGAAGGAACAGCCGCACTGACAGAATTTGTAGGCGACGCCGATGCCGTTTTTCTACTCCGCCGAGGTGCCACTCTGAAGAACGTCATCATTGGCAAGAACCAGGCTGAGGGTGTCCATTGCGACGGACCCTGCACTCTTGAGTTTGTCTGGTTCGAGGATGTCTGCGAGGACGCCATCTCTGTTGTAAGTTACGACGGGTGACGTATGCAAGGCAAAGCTGACGCCCCTTGCAGAAGAACGACGTGGCTGGTGACCACACCTGGATTATCGGTGGTGGTGCTTACAAGGCCTCGGACAAGATTGTCCAGCACAACGGTTGTGGTACCGTTAACGTGAGTCTAAATTGGCACCTAGTCATCACTTGTTGAGATCTAACATTGTGTAACAGATCATCAACTTCTACGCCAATGACTACGGCAAGCTGTACCGTTCATGCGGCAACGTAAGCCAAAACTCCGAGATAAGATGTATTTGAGCGTCTTTAGACTGACAGAAACCCCTCTTGTAGTGCAGCAAGCAGTGCAAGCGAAACGTCTACGTCGAGTTCGTCTCTACCTCTCTTTCTCTGTCTGTCACGATGCTAATGTTTGCTCTCTCAGGGGCACTACTGCCTACAACGGTGGCGAGATTGTCGGCATCAACTCCAACTACGGCGATACTGCCACCCTCAAGAACGTCTGCACCGACGCCAAGGTCAGGTGCCAGATGTACAACGGCTGCGCCGGTGGCTGCGAGCCCACCAAGTCTGGCGTCTGCTCCGGATAAGTGGCGCTGCCTCGTGCTCCGAATTCCCTCCGCCAATGAGATCAGATACATCTCTTCGTCCATTCAGAAGATTCAAAGCTCATATCCGATCTCGTCTTCTTCTCATATACCGAAGATATTCGGTTATCCGTTCTTGTACAAATTATCTTTGCTGGGCCCCTTGACTCCTGAGCTTTTGGGGTAGTACACAGTTCCTTATCGAAATTGATGGTGATCATCATGTACGGCTCATCATTGTGATTGTATTTTTTTAAGTCTTGAAATCTGTTAATTAGTCAACTATCCAGGTTGATGATTCAAGTCCCAAAACATACGCAAATCCATAGGAGGCCATCACGCAGGAAGTACTGCGACCATTAGGACGATAGAAAGGCGAAATTCAGGGCACAACTTTTTAATCTGTACCTCGTAGGTTTGCTGCTGCATAAAGCGCCATGTTTTGTGCCGCAGGGATAGACAACCTTTAGTGCTTTATCTATCTAGGTACATAGCTTTGTAGATGTGATCCAGCCTTTTCACTTACACACCTCGAGGTATGTTGAATATGTCCCAATTGCCAAAGGGGTGCCATGTCAGCTCAGCAACTAATAGTTATAAAAAGGAGATATCTTTTCCCATTCATACTTGGCTGAGAATTGCGCCTTGCATATTGCATATTCATTCATCTCGACGCGAACCCAGACCTGTACGCAAATCTTGACTTTGGAAACAATCATGGCTCAAACCTCAACGAGTAAATATGCCGAGGGGACTTCGCAGCCCAATGTTGCACCCCCGAAACTTTTCGAGCGTCTGAAATCAAAGTTCTTCAAAAGGTGCTCGAAGTGGGAATACAAAAAGCTCGACGACATGGAATCGAGTCAGAAGAAGATTCGCACCGCGGCATCTGGAACAGAAACTAGACAGGCCGAAGAAAACAAGACGAACAAGCTCAACTCAGATAAAAATACCAATTTCGAACTCAAGGCGGCAAAGGAGCGAGTGCAGAGATTGAAAGCCAAACGAAGCATACCAAACACAGAATCGCACTCAGATCAAACGAAAGAGGAGGAGCTGAAGCAGGCTAAAGAGAAAGTTGAGCAGATAAAAAAGATGAAGAAGACAAAGAAACAGGAGGAAAAGGAAATCAAGAGATCGAAGAGAGCCGAGAGAGGCGCAACTAGTTCGCCAACTTATGGAAGTTACAATGATTACGGCAATACGGCGCTTACAATGAGTCTCCTGGGTATGACAATGACGTCCAACTTCAGCGGAGGCTGCGACTACGGTGGTGGAGGTTGTGACTACGGTGGTGGTAATTGTGGTGGAGGTGGTTGCGACTGATCAACTGGAAGTGACATGAGACGTCGATCAGAAAATATCTCCCATGCGAATTCACATGATGGTATTTCCCGACATATCTACAACAAGAAGCAGCCCTTTTCCGAGTCTAGCGGTAGCAAGGGATGTCATTCTTCCGGATAATTGGTCAGCAACATCAGTCATTCATTTAGCGACTTGTTGAAAGAGTAAGTCGATTGAAAATTTGCAAGGTGGTATCTTTCACCTGAATAATCTCAAGTTTGTGACTGGTCGTAGTCGCTAATGATAATTGAATCCCAAGATACAGTTGACATGCAATTGAAAGTTTCTTCGTCGCATCTGAACGTAAGAGCTTCTACACCGACAACAAATAATTCCATAGGCAGTTGTAGTCACGACCCCTTCACAAACCGACAACATGGGCTTAGCATGACCCATGTTCAAGTGAACAAAAACAGGGTTTGACCTAGCAAGTTCAACTGCCACAATTTGCGGGGCGAGCATTTCTTATTGTTTTCTCCAAGCCAGGCCACAGCCGATACGCGATTTGATTCGAGCGCGTCTAAGACCGGCCTCGGCACATCATTCTGCGATGTCCTGATGCAAGCTGCGCAATTACCCAATGACCGGATTCATATCCAGCTTCCAGTCCGGGACATCCCACCGGCTGAATACGACACTCTATCGCTCCTTTACCCAAATCCATGCTCACACGTGAACGCTGTTGTCTCCCATGTCGGTAACCACCGAAGTCTGGGGTCGTCATATTTGTTGCCGTCATGCCAGATCCGTAGCCGAGTGAGTTTCCTTCTCTCTCGACGTCATATGCGGTTTGCTATGTCATCTAACCGCGCATAGGGCATTTTCGACCATGTCGAGCCGAAGATCCAATACCAAATACGTGAACGCTGTCGCCGGAGCTCAGTCAGTCCTTACTGACGACCTGACTCGTTCGCATCACGTCTAGTGTACGCTAAGTCTCTCGGCCGGCTGCGACTTCCCCGCATACCAGCCTTCAAGAGCCGGGATGCGCATCATCACGAGCTGTTTCTTGGAGATTGTGGGGTAGTAAACATGCGGAGAAACATGGGTGTTCGGGGTAGCTAAGACGTGTGCCGCAAGCTCCCGCTCGCTCTCGGTGGAACGGTTACCACGACGCTTGGCCTTTACTGACGCGCCTGTTCCCTGATGTCAATGATATGTTGCTGGCTTGAAGCTTGCGTCACAACAAGAGGCAATGATCATCCATTGGATCGCGGCGGGGTGCATTTCCCCAGTCCATTGCTACCCAAGACGGCCGGTCGAGGTCTCGGACCTTTTGCCCTGTGTTTACCAGCCATGTGGTTGATTCGAGCATCATCCCGCAGCTGCGGAGGCGGGATATTGTATATAAAGAGCGCGTGAATATTCCCTAAAGATGCTTCAGCCGTGATATCCGCGGCGTGCCGAGTACCACGGAGCCATCCTCATCATGCAACACCTTCGACTCTGGCTCTCTTCCGCGCTCGCTCTCGCGGCGAGTGCGAGAGGTCAGGATGTCACTGAAAAAATCGAAGCAGCACTTTCTGCACTGACTGTCACCAACATTGACAACGTCCGTGGTAACTTGCATTTGCCAACGACCTTGGATGACCTGCCCGTCACTTGGACAAGCAACGCGTCCTCTATTATCTCGGATGATGGCGTCGTAAAGAGACAATCCGAGGATACGCCGGTCTCTCTTACGGCGACGATCAACTACGACGGCGTCTCTCAACAGCGAGAGTTTGTAGCTTCGGTTCGAAAGGCTGTAGCACTCGACGCTTTCGAAGGCTACGCCTTCTCATACTTCACCGGCAGCTCCATAGCCGGGGAAAACATCTTCTTCGCGGCTAGCCAGGGAAACAACGCCCTGCAATGGACTGAGCTGAACGGCGGCCAGCCTTCCCTGACGTCTTCTTACGGCACCAAGGGTCTCCGAGACCCCTTCCTCATCAGATCACCGGAGGGCGATACCTTTTATCTCATCGCCACTGATCTTTCTATCGGATCCGGCACATCCTGGAGTGACGCCGTGCGTATTGGAAGCCGGTATCTCGAAGTGTGGGAATCCAACGATCTCAAGACATGGTCTGCGCAGCGACACATCCTCGTCTCCCCGCCCGAGGCTGGAAACACCTGGGCCCCCGAGGCATACTATGACGACGATCTCGGCGCATACTTGGTGTTCTGGGCATCTTCTCTTTACGACGCAGCCGACGTCAACCGAACTGGGAGCACCTATCACCGCATGTTGTACGCAACGACCCGTGACTTCGTCACATTCAGCGAGACGCAGATTTGGCAAGACGCTGGCATGTCCCGTATCGACTCGACTGTGATCAAGTCGGAGGACACCTACTACCGCTTCACCAAGGACGAAGGCGCAAGCGGTACTGGATGTAGTGATATAATTCAGGAGAGCTCGGCCTCTCTTCGCGCGACCTTGGACTCTTGGACTATCATCGACTCTTGCATCGGCAAGAAGGCCGGAACCAGCGCGGTCGAGGGCCCGACCTCTTTCAAGTCAAACCCTGGCGACGTACACGGCGAGAAGTTCTATCTCTTCGTCGACGAATACGGTGGCCGCGGCTACATCCCTCTGGAGACTGCCGACATTGGCGAGCCCAACTGGACTGTGTCGAGTTCCTACAACCTACCCTCCAGCCCGCGTCACGGTACTGTTATCCCTGTCACGGCAGCGGAACTCGCGGCTCTGACGGCGTCGACCACGACCCGCAGAGACGTCAGTGCGGATGGTGAGATTCTTCGATACGACTTCTCTTCGGTCGAGGGAACCGAGGTTCAAGATGTCTCTGGTAATGGAAACAATGCTGTCATCAACGGTGGAGCGACTGTCTCAGATGGGGCCCTTGCTTTCGACGGCGTAGATGACTTTGTGAAGCTTCCTGACAACATCATTTCTGGAGTCGAAAACATCGCTGTCGAAGTCAAGGTTCTTCTTGACCCATCTCAAGAAACTCCGTACTTCATTTACGCCTTGGGCAATACTGTTTCTGGCTCTGGAAGCGGTTACATCTTTTCTACCGGCAGTCCCTACAGAGCTTCTATTACGACCGGCAACTGGACTACTGAAAAGACCGCGTCTTCTGGGTCTCAGTTACCGCAAGGTACCTGGCTTCATCTCGTCTTCACTCAGGAAGGACGCACCACCGCTATCTACCTCAACGGCTATGAGGTTGCCAGGAACGAGGACGTCAACATCAAGCCGAGCAGCATTGGTAGCGGCGTCACGGCCGCGAACTACATCGGTCGCTCAGTTTATGACAGCGACAAGCTTTTCAAGGGCCAGATTCGGGAATTCGCCATCTTCAACAGATCGCTGAGTGCGGCCGAAGTACTTTCTCGCTCTGGAAATGTCGGTGCTATCACAGAGGTTTCCCTCTCCGACTCATCCGCCCAGAAGGTCCCGCCCATCATCAACACGACGGCCAACCATGTTCTGTTTCCTGTGAAGCCAGGAACCGATCTCACCACCCTGGCGCCTGTGTTCACCACAACTGAATGTGTAACTTCATCGCCATCATCTGGTACTGTCGTTGACCTAACCTCCGACGTCACCTACGTCCTTACAAAGGGCAATGAAGTTATCGCGGAGTGGAAGATCAAGGCTGTTGAGATGGGAAGCCCTGTTCTTCCTGGTCTCTATGCTGACCCTAACATTGCTGTCTTCAACGGTGTGTACTACCTGTACGTCACCACTGATGGAGTTCCAGGATGGGGTGGCAACAAGTTTTACGTGTGGAAGTCTACCGACCTCGTGGACTGGACTCGCGGAGAAGAGCCTTTCCTGGTTCTCGATGGCGCCAGCGGCAATGTCCCATGGGCAACCGGCAACGCTTGGGCTCCGACGATTGCGGAACGGGATGGCAAATACTACTTCTACTTCAGTGGACACAACGCAGCTCTCAACACCAAGACCATCGGTGTCGCCGTTGCCGATGCACCGGAAGGGCCTTTCACTGCTGAGCCGGAGGCTATGATTCTCAACAACGAGGCCATCACAGCGTCTCAAGCCATAGATCCAGCGGCTTTCCATGATCCCGTTTCTGGCAAGTACTATCTGTACTGGGGCAACGGTCGCCCTCTGGTCGCTGAGCTGAACGACGACATGGTTTCCGTCAAATGGGACACGCTGCAGGCCATGACCGGTCTTGTTAACTTCAGAGAGGGCTTGTTCGTCGTGTACCGCGAGGGTCTCTACCATCTCACGTACTCAATCGACGACACTGGATCTGAGAATTATCGCGTCGGCTACGCTACCTCCGAAAGCTTTGCTGGACCTTGGGTCTACCACGGTGATATCTTGCAGAAGGATCCTTCGCAGGGCATTCTTGGTACTGGTCACAACTCCATGTTTGTGGTTCCCGGAACCGATGATTGGTATATCGTCTACCACCGATTCGCTATCCCTGGTGGAGGTGGTTACAGGCGCGAAACGACGATTGATCATGTCTACTTCGACTCTGAAACGGGTCTGATCAAGCCTGTGGTGCCAACTCTCACAAGCGTTGGGCCGCAGACGGTCCCGAGTAAGATTCGGAGGAGATCGCGGGTCATGCGCTTTTAGCCGAACGAACTTGAAGCGGGCAAAACGAATAATCGATGGTTGATTGAGATGAAGGAGCAAAAGTGGAATTAGTCTCATGGTTCACCGTTCTTTCATATTCCACTTATCAATAATGAAGTAATGATGAACATTCACAATTGTTCTCTGACTATCCGATGTGTTTCTGGCGTTTAACCTGAGCAAATCATTCTTGATACGATGGTCTTCCCTTCAAAGCCCTCTGCACGATGCACCTGAAGCCTCCATCTTCGCCACTCTCTCACGTGCAAGCTGTCGATGTGCAGGATGGCGTATTCGACGCGTAAACGTAAGATGTGCCTGCGCACCCTCCGGGACATTCTCCGCCGCAAGGATACGACGCAGACACTGTCGGGACTGAAGCCGGACAGTCACAAAGACTATAGATGGTGGACAGCGCAAAGCACGCCGGCCTAATGCAGGAACTGCAGATCGTCCCCGTCTCAGTGACAGTCGGACATTCAGTAGGAAGCTCCGGCGGATTGGTTCGTGTTGGGATCGTTTGAGTTAGGAAACTGACGCCGCCGCAACTAGGCACTGAGGTCTCGTAGGAATAGAATTTCTGGCAGCCTGTTGGCTTAGGTCCGCCGCAAGGAAAGTCGATGGTGGTGGTTGGGACTGTTTTTGGACATCCGCAAACGCTTGAGATGGTTGACATCTGGGCGCATGGGAACACAGGATAGGTGGAACAGACAGACCCCGTGGACGTGACAGTTGGGCAAGATGCAGGTGTGAAACCTTGCACCGCGAAAGAGCTACTGAAGATATTAGTATGAGTTGGTGTTGGGGATAAGCTTGTGTAGCTCACCAGGCCGCCACGAAAGCGATGAGTCTGTTGAATGTCTTCATATTGAACGAAACAGAGCTGGAATTGTGCTGGATTCTTTGAGACGAAGATTGCTGAAGTGTAAAGTCCTCTCTTACACTGTATTTATACAAAAGGTCATGCTCTACTTACTCTGACGTGTGCGTCGTGTCGTTCAACGACCAAGCTAGGAAACGACCAGTATCGTGTGTCTCAGTGGCAGGTCGCAAATCGTCCAAGCCACGTACAACCGTCATCCGCCTTGCCACACTTCGTGAGCCTGTAGAATCACTTCAACGGCCCAGGTTGAGAAACACAGAAGGGAGGGCATGTTCGGATGTCTTGAGCGACATCATACGGGGCGTAGTTCAGCCATGTCTCTCCGCAAACGGGTCGCCAGGTCAAGAACACGAGCTTATGGCGTTCTTGGCTGTGTGTCGGTTGCAGCATTCCTGAGCGCCCTTCCAAAGATCGTCATTAAAGATTCTTGCGTCTGTTTGTTTTTCTTTTTTTCCCCGGAGCTTCTGTTTTCTACCTCACGGAAAGCCTCATGATAGACAACGATCCAAGTACGCTTTACGCCGTACGCTTTACGCCGTGATAAGACGTGCCGCTCATCAGAGCTCTTCGATAAGCCGCCGCCGATTTTTCCCATCGCAGAGCTGAAGTTAAACAGCTACGTATCGCATTCAAGCGCATAGTAGTAAAGCGCGTTGTATAGCACGGACACTGACGAAAAATCCATCTGAAAGGTAGGATCAGCCATCAAAGGTTGACTATACAAGTAGGTTTGTTCAGCGATTCAATTATAGAAGTTGATATTCGACCCGAAAGCTGAGTCTTGGGTGATCAGGACGGAAATGGACACGAGCTCCCGCTTGTGAGATGGGTTTCTCCCCATGGGGGAGTCTCACTTTGTGGCATTCTCACTTCAAGCGTTGTTGGACCGAATTCACTTGGCACCACATAGTCGTGGACCCAGAACTTCGGCTCATTCTTTCCGAGACAATGTTACTACTGCGACGTAGAGGGCTTCACGGAAAATCATCTGATAGAAGGTCAGTTCTGAGCATCGGAACTACGAAGTTGGATCTCGAGTCATTCCGGTTGTTGCAACTGATGAGATTTGTTGTCCGAGCGGACTTCATGTATTGTAATAACATCGCCGTTATCGAGGTCATCATGTTGGCAATACAGTGGCGAGAACTTCTTTGGCCATAATTACGGACAGTTCCGTCGGAGGCTCCTAGTCCAAGTCCTCCGCCGTTCGGCCCCACTGCTGATGGGATGAAAGTTGAATAATCGCCGCCGCAGGAAGAGCTCGTAATGACTCGCCTGCGGGAGGAAACCGAAGAACTGAGGGAACTGGCGTTGAGCTCCGGTGGCAAAGCAAAGACCTATAATACGTTCGGGCCGCATCACACTTGGTCGACCATGTCTTCTTCCCCATTAAGAGTTTGGTTAAGCCGCAGTGGAACGATCCCGGCAAGTCTGGCCGTGTGGTCGGCCCCAGTCGGCGGACCCTGCGGCCGATAACAGACGATAATATAGGCCGTGCTCCGTTACATATATATTGCCCAGTACCGAAGGCCCGGCTGCGCGCCCGGCGAGGGTGGCAGCCGTGATGCTCAACGCATAACGAAAGGGATAGATGGTGAAATCCTTGAGGTGTTGGTTGCGAACTAATTTTATGGCTATGTAGCACCGGTTCAGCTCAGAGCCCGTCTCGCGATGTTCCTTTTGGGCTAGGCGTGCTTCAAGTCTGGACTGCTCCACGCTTCAAGGAGAATCTGAATGGATCAGGGTTAGAAAAAGAAAAACGGATGTCACCCCGCGGATGATGCAATGAAATGTCCACCGGAGAATTATTTCTTGTTCTGCAGATGAGCTGAAATTCTGCTCTGGGGAAAGAGAGCCACTCTTTCTGTCTGTGAAAGCACGTAATTTATGACCGGTCCCGGGCCGAGTCATCCGTCGGCGCCGGCCGGGGTGGAGCCGTAGATGGAGGCGGATCTCAATGCATTCCGGCGCGCTGCCATCGAAGTTCCGCACGTGGGCGGCACCGGCGCTGGCGCTAGATTTAAAGTTATCAATTGCCTTCTGGTCAATTCTCAGCTGCCGATGTTAGCGAACCCCTATTCGCAAAACACAGCCTCACTCTTGGATGAGGCAGATAAAGAAAATGCTTATTGTCATCGCGAGCTTGGCGCACACGCACTCTCTTCTGGTTGATGCGCCGCCTCCAGCTCAGGGAAGACCCATCAACAGGTTCAACGAGCTGGAGTTATGCTGGTGCGGGCCTCGCTCAGTCACAGGATGTCGACTCGGGCTTTGGTGTTTCACCCGGCTCAAGTGACGAATTTGCCCCGTCTGTTGGCCAGAATGGTCGGTGCGTCCACGGCATCTCGGCTTCGATGCGAAGGCCGATAATTGGATGAGGGGGAGAAAGCGTTCAACGAAAGAACGTTGGAGGCGCAAGAAGAGGAGATGCTTTTGGTTCGCATTTCGTATGGAAGGCCTCTTCAACCTCCGAATAGGAAGTCCGGGAGTGCAAAAATAGGAGATGGAGGGCCTGGAGGGAGCTCGCGAAGCGCTTTGATGTCACCCAGCGAAACAGTCTGCACACGAATCTAACCCCAACGCGGACAACCAACTTACGACCCCGAAGTCTTGGGACCGTCCAACAGGTGCCCACGTTGCCACGACGGGTGGAATTTCTCTGGAAAACCGACCCCTAACGGGCTCACTGCAGGGCAAAGTTCCAAGATCCTTGTGCCGTCTCAGTTTGCCAGTTGATTCGCCATAGTTTTGGATATACGGCATAATCCTTGCGTCTCGTCCGCGGAGCTGGAGCTTTCTGTCAGACATTTGGCCCCGATGCACTCTGATCCGCGACAGGGGTGCGTGGTTGAGACTCCGACCCCCTTCTCCACAGAGGTGATACCAGTGCCCAGATGCACGCGGGCATTGGTTCGTGCTCGACTTCGGATGCAACTGATGCTCGTGGAATTAAGATGGCATGCGAATCACTATATAGTTCAGATCAATGAACCCGTTCCCAAAAGTGTTTGGACCTCCTCCTCCACCCTCTACCGATCTTTGCTTCACTCTTTGCTTTGGTCTCAACGTTTCACCTCTGGTCAACAGCAGCTCGGTGTCGACAACTACACTCACTTCTGCGAATCTGCGAATCTTTCCACTGCGAATTTCTCGTTTCCGTTTTCTGCACAAACTACGGTCGTTTCCACGCGCAAGTTTGAGAATTCGGTCCATACACACACACACACACACACACACACACACACAACGCATTCCACGCCAAGACAACTGAAAATGCGGTTTTCCATTGCGGTTCTTGCCTTATCAGGCGCTGCATCGGCTCTGGTACGTGTATAAACGTCGTTTCTCTGTTTTTGGAATGACGACTAATGCTTCTTTCCCAATAGCCCGCTCTCAGTGGCGCCGCAGCACGTCAGCTCACTGCTTTAGTCGATCGAAACAGCGACGTAGTCTCAGCGGCGGACGACTTGAGCCGTCGCAGCTTCAAAGTGGAGGTTATGCCCGCCAGCGACGGCACGAATGCGAAGAGGAGGAGCTTGGAGGTTGAAACGAGGCAAACGAAGAGTACGGGGGGCAACGGCAGCCTGAACGCCGAGGCGATTGGTGACAATAAGGTCAACCCGACAACGGGTCTGACGGATTCGGAGGCGGCAGAGATCGTGACCGGACTCGATCTCAAGGACAAGAAGGCCCCCGGATCCCTCAACGCCAAAGGCCAGCGGAATCCGCTGCCGGGTCTGAGCGCGGACGAGACGGACGCTATCGTGAAGCAGGGGCAGGCAGCTCTCAAGGAAGCTGGTGCATGATAGGCAACTTCCCGCGCGACAATAATACAAAAACCAACTGCTGAACTCTCAAGGCTTCAATGTGGCCCTGTCCAATAACCCTGCTCTGTTGAACCTTTCGGACTTGGAAAAGTTGACAAGCGCTATGACCATTGGTTTGTGACATTGATTGCGAATACGAGAGATGATAATCTGTAACAGCACATACGCATTTCAGAAATGTGCTGCCCAAGGGTTGGGAAGATGTTCTGGCTTAGTGGTGTTGATGGGTGCTCCGGAGTTCTTCATCCAGCCACTCAACAACCATCGATTCATCAACTGAGTCTGACGCGAGTTGTTTTCCTCAGAGCACCACAAACTCGATGCGAGTCACTCATCGCGCCTGCACGAAGATCCCACGTCGGTAGCATTAAAAAGAGTCATTCACTTACAGCTTTCTTGATTAACTTTCCCGTCGGTGATGCCGGCCCCACTGATTGTCCCGGTGCGGCAGCCCCCCGGTCCAGCAGTCGGCAAGTGGGTCTATGCCGAGGTCAGATGCCGAAGGGGTGGCCAAGCGACCCGGAGCACGTTCGGTTCCAGATAGAGAGCATCTCAAACAAGATCGAATGAACCGCTGCGGAACGAATTTAGGTTGACAGCTCGCCTTGATCAACGGATCTACGGACTACCGAGTTCAAGTCCTCAATTGAAAGGTCCCTGTTTCGTCCAAATATTCATTCCCAGTTTTTGTCCCCTAACAATCGGCAGACCAGCATGTAAAACTCGCTCGTCGCCCGTGTCTCTGTCGACCAAGTTCGTCCAGAACAGGGCATTACCTTCCACCGGGCGGAACGTCACTCCCGCCTCCCACGGCTCGTCGCAGTCAACGAACTTGCACCATCCCTTTCCCGGCGGTGGCTGAAGTCGAGGGAAGTTTGTTCCCCCGCCAGCAATGTCGTCGCTGACTGAAACATAGGTGAAGAAGCTGCTCACACGATTACCGCCCTTCGTTACAGATCCATGCTCTCCCGAGTCGGCCGGGAACCAATCCGTATGAAAATGGTACTGCTCTCCAAGGCCGTACTTGACAAGCTGGATCGGCTCCAAATGAGTGGGCGGCGTACCCAGGCCTTGGAACTGTCGCGCGCGCTCGAGGATGCATTGTGTCACGGCGTCCGGTATCACCGTTGTTGACTGCGAGGTCCGGTGGGATGACACGACGTCCCCTCCGCTTGAAGCGACGTTGGAGCGGGCAAAAGTCCCATTCCTGGATATTGTTTATCAGTCACATCGTGCGACAAGTTTGATAATAGTTCATGATACTGACGTGATTCTCTTGAGATGTTCTCGTTCGAAAGGAGTAACAAAGTTGGCAATATAGATAACCAGGGGTGACGTGGTAAACAGATGAACTTCATATCCTGTGTGATCACAAGTGTAATCTTTCAGGACATTTTGGTCATTGGATCTGCTAGCCGCAGCAGCCGTGGCCGTAAACACATGTAGCAGGGTTATCCAGCTCAACTTCATTTCTGCATTCGGACTAGACCAGACGCTGCTGTTCGACTGATGTCTGAGGACTTTGAGACGCCAAGATTGAAACGGCCTAAGAAATAAGAACCGGATGAACTTCAACGATTCAATGATGTTGACAACAAGAGAAACCGCTGTAGCCGCATTGAAAGAACTGGATGTGTCATGGAATATTTGAGATGAAGACACTGAGAGGGGTTAAAGAAAATTTGAAGACCAAGGGGTGAGCAATTAGTATGGGCAAGTCAATCATATGGAGCTGGTCTTGCATCCTGGATACTTTTCCAGTAGCAATTGGCCCAAACGCGCCTCAGCACGTGCAATGGTCCAGACGGAGACATGCGTGATGCAGCATCGGGAAAAAAGAGAATTGGCAAATGGGATGAAGTGGTTAAATTTGTTCGCGGCGCGATGTAACAGGGGAAGGGTGTCATTCGCCGCATCTCCGTGATCATGAAGGGATATTGCGGAGATCAGCTCCGAGGACTATCTTGGGGTAGGAGGAGACCAGTCAGTAAGGAGGATCTCACAACTCACACCTTTCGACCATGGATTGACTTTTCTTTCTTTCTTTCTTCTGACGATGGCATCGATATTCCGGATCAAAGATGGCATTTTGGGCACGATTTGTTTCCTACGCCCTGCTCGCAGTATGTGCATCGGCCTGGCGACATGCGAGCAAATCTGAGCTTGAAGAAGCCCTCAATGGTGGGCACGACACCTTAGTTGCATGTAAGCTATATCCTATCCATGGTTTTACGTCGAATATCAAACAGCATATTGACATGTGCGGTAGTTGTCGACGTAAGCTTCAAGTTCTGCAAACTGTAGGCTGAAATTTGCTGACATCATCTTCTCCCAACAGCCAGACAGGTACCACTCTCATCGTGCTTCCCGACAATCCGCTCATGACAGTCCAGTTGGAACAGCCAATTGCTCGAGAAGGAATGGGATTCAATCACATACTACGATAAAACAATCTTGAGCCTCAACTGCGCGGTAAACGCACATATCTGCGAAGAGCACGATGTGCGGTCGTTTCCCGCCATTCGATTGTACCGATCAGCCAAGACATTCGAATATTATCGAGGACCTAGGCAAGCAGGGGAGTAAGTCGCCGTACTTGAAGTTATGCACAAGCCGACTCATTCTAATGTTACTTGCTATGCGCATAGTATTACCGCCTTCGTTAAACGTTCATCACGCCCAGTTATCTCAAGTCTAGGCTTAGAAAACGTCACCGACTTCGCCTACGCCGATTCCGTCGTCTTCATCCTTCGCCTCACAGACCAAGACGCAGGCAAAGGTCTCTACAAGCGATTTCTCGATTTAGCCACTGACAATGCGCATCATTATTCCTTTGGCGCCATATCGCGCGACCCGGCAGATGGCCCATCGTCTCTCGACTGCTTCAATAATCTTGACCATTTCATACTGTCGACAACTGAGTTCTTTAAGGATGTCTACTCGCTAGATGATTTCCTGAAATCATGCAGCTCCCGTCTAGTTCCCGAGATGACCCACGGAAACAAGGCCGAATACAAAGAGGTACCCCAGTTCAATGTCTTATCCAAAAAAAACATTCCATAAGTTCTTTGTTCATAAACGCCAAAATCATGGAATTGGTCATTTTTACAATGAAACATAATATCTAACCTGGAATTGCAGAGCAAAACCAACGTCCTGTACTTCTTCGACTTCAACTCAGCCCGACGAGAGCAGTACGCCTTCCACATCAAAGAAACTGCCCGAAAATACGAACGAGATCTCAGATTCGTCACCGTCGATCCGCCCGCGTTTCCGGATATACCAGCAAGCATGGGGTTGAAATGGACTTTTCCCGCCATAGCGCTGCAAGATAGCAAGACTGGTCTCATGTATCACTCAGAGCAGAGCGATTCCATCACGCCTGGATTCGTGGAGAACTTTCTTCGATCTGTAGCCGATGGGAAGATTCAGCCTGCTTTTCACGAGTCTGTGGAAAGTCAACGCGATGAGGAGGTCAGGGTTGATATTGGTGATGGTCCGAAGGGAGTCGTGCATGATGAGTTGTAATCTTGGGTCGAAATTGCTCAGATACAGACTTTGAGTTTGGGGACACTTCGTTATGTTGGGAAATACGGCACGTGTCTTGCAAATTAGACTTTATTCCCTATTCTTTTACCCAGCGCGTCATCTACATCTTGCCGTCGCACTGCTATGCTATGTCTGTTTCTTGGATGCACTCATGCAGAATCTCTATCTACCTTATGATCAACCGCAACGTCTAGCTAATACCAAGCCCCAAGGCGGGCTTCGTCTGCACCCATCTCTGCCGTAGCGCTGACTTCCACTCATCTAGTTTCCGAATCTGTCCATCGACTAAAATCTCTCCAGCCTGAAGATCCTTCGGCAAGGGCGGCACGATCAACCACTCGTGACTCGCTTTGCACGGTGACGTGTGCCCGGGCGTGAAGTTCTGGCTCTTCACGGCCGTCCAGCAGGGAAGACAGAATTTCAGGTCGACGCAGTACCAGCACACCGCGAACTTATCGGAAGGCTCAAGAAGCTTGAGACAATGATCGCACGAGAAGTCGCGATCCTCGGAGAAGACTTTGGTCAGAGTGATTTGCTTCGTATGTCTCCGCGGCGACAGCCCGCCGATTCGGGGCGAGCTGGAGCGTCTTTCGGTAATGAGATGTCCGGCAAGACTCGTTGCTGCCGGGGGCGTTCTCGCGGATTGCCACAGTGCTAGCGCGTTGATCTTGTCACCTGCCGCGATCAAGGTCCGTTGCAAGTTGGCGATGCTGGTTTCGTCGTTTTGAGGCTCATCGTCTTCCAGGAGTTCCAAACTTTCGGAGATCAAGGCAGAGAGCAGCTGTCGGGCCTCTCCGTCTCTGTTTCGAAGGCGGTATAGGAGAATCAGGTATATCGATGCCTCATTGAAGTCGAATCCAGCCATGTGTAGCGGCACGTCTCTGTTCTGATACTTGCGCTGCTGCTCCATGAGCTCTTCCAGCTTCTTGATCCACGGATCTACCGCTTCGGATCGCAACGTATCGTCGGCTTCAAGTGCTTTGAGGGAGTATGCTCTCGCAAGTTGCTTGAAGGAGGCGATGTACTCGATCCGCACAGCCAAACTGCCCCTCGCCTTGTAGTCGAAGAAGCAGATGCCCTCCTGGATCTCGATGGCCTCGTCGTAATGTTGTGCCGCCATATAAATATTTCCGAGCGAGTTTCGAAGATAGAATGCCTTGCGTGAATCTTGAGCGTCATGAGCCGATACAATGGCATTTCGGTAGCGCTCTGCGAGGATATCCGTGTTTCCCGTCCTGGCAGCAGCCTGAGGGAACCAGTCACGAATGGAAGGATCCGGGATCTGGCTCAAAAGGAACAAGACGAAGCGGGAGTTACCCCTCTCCGTATACCTGCCGTCCAACTCTTCAAAGAGGCCAATCATCTCCGCGATGCGGTTGTTTCCGGCCAGAACCCTCATGTAGGCAGCTTCGGGCTCAAACTCGGGGGCATCGTACGCATTCCTGATGGCTTTGCGGCAGTATGCTATAGCGCTTTCGACTCTACCCATGCGGTTGTAGCACTCTGCGATCTGGGCCTGGTTCTTGTAGAGTCGCCACTTGCTGTTCTTGACTTCCTGTTCGGTCTGGTAGTACCCCTTGGCCATGTGATCCTGCTCTACAACCTCACACATGAGGTGAAGTTTGAGAGCTTTCTCGTAGTTGCCGCTCATGGCATGGCATAGACCCATTCTACCGCAACTCTCGACAATGTTTGAGTCGAGGTTAAGAGCCTTTTCAAAGTACTCCAAGGCTTTCTTATGCTCGCCAAGGTTGAGAAGAGTACTGCCGATTCTGCGGTACCAGTGTCCCGTTTGCTGATAGTTTGCCCAGTCGGTAGCTCTCTGCATTCTGTCCTCGAGTGAGACCTCCTGCCAGTGTAGCTCTGAGTAACTCCAGGGCTTGCCTTGCTCCAGGAGCGGCAGACACTGGACCACTCCGAAACAGAAGAGAGTCGGCATGTACATGCCAAATCCCTCTACAAGCCAAGCTTTGGCAAAGGTCCTTCCCATAGGCTCTAGTAGCCGTGCTGGACTTGTAGCCGCAGCGGTCGCCCAAGCCTTTTGCTCGGGGGTGAGACCGCTAACGACGTCTGCATCTCTCAGCCATTTAGAAACCATCTCGATGTTCTTGTCGGTCCAAATGTCCAGAGACTCTTCAAACAGGTTCGTCCAGGTGAGGAGAACAGTGGGATCGGTGAGCATGGTGTAAAGGCGTTTTCCAATGTCGGCTTTCTCTGCCACAGAGATCTCAGAGAGCTTGACATCTTCCAGATGCTCTGGCCAGTACCACGCGGCATATCGCTGTAAAGACAGGCCTTCATGACCTAATGTGAAGTATGTCGGGTCGGTGAAAATGCGAAGACAGGTCTTCAGGACATGCAACCTGGCCTCGGCTAGCTTGAAGCCGATAGCAGGAGACTTCGAATCAGCCCTCAGGTCTGTCGAGACATCCTCCCTAAAGAATTCCTTGACCGACATGTGGAAGAAAGTGACATAAGTCGTGCTCTTGTTTGAGAAGTACTCGATGTCCCTATCAGCCTCGAGGAAATCGGGGCTTGTTCGTTTGGCAGTGTCCAATTCAATGAGAGATAGACGGCGATGAAGCTCGTGACGGTCGGCCAGATCAGCAGTCGACAGTCCATCCTCGCGCTCCAAGGTGAAAAAGCACGAGAATTGACCTCTCAAAGACTCCTCGAGTCGAAATGGCGCATCTCCCATCTTGAGTGTCAAAATGGCCTCAATCTGCTCCAATGTGAGGCCCATCTCTGCCACCGAGACCCAGCGCAAGATCTCGTTCAGATCATCTGCTTCTTCTTGCGTGATGCTTGAACTGAAGCCAAGCACGGCTTTCTTAAGCATGCCGTTGATTTCCTTGGGGTATGACTGAAGGCTCTCGATGATTCTTCTCGGGTGTCGTATTCTGCTGAGTTCGGCCAACATGAACTTGGCCAGGATGAAAAGACCATCGACCTGCTTGACCATTGCGTCTATGATGCTGTCCTTGAAGTCGTCTGTGGATCCACGAAGAATCCGCGCGTTGCTGACACCTTCGACAATGTAGGACACTATATCTGAGCTGTTTCTTTCGGCTGTGACATGGATCGTTCGTAGTTGCTGGCCACCTGTAGAATCGTTGCCGAGATAGTCGTTGATATCGTCTGAAAGGCTTGGTCTTCCGATGAGGGCCACCTGAACCCTCGTACCATCCGCAGATTGCTGATTGAGATCATCCAGTAAGGACAAGAACTCATTGACCTCGCGGGGTTCGGCCTCATCTAGTCCATCAATGAGGACGAAGATGTGTCTCTTCCATCTGTCAGGCACGCATGGCTCAACGAGCAGCTTTCTGAACGCGCTCGAGACAGTCTTAATGTCGTCACTCGTGGCCACCTCGCGTATGAGTTGCTTGCCGTAAAACACATCCTGTTCGCTGATTTGGTACGCCATGTCTCGCAAGGCCTGCGTCATCGATCGAGATTCTGGGTTGTTTTGCTTGAAGAAGAAATACCCCATCATACTGGTGGTCTCCTGGGTATTGAGAAGCTCTTGGCCCCATGCGACAAGACGTGAGGTCAGATACGACTTTCCTGTTCCGGGGTTGCCTGCCACCCAGAGAAATCGAATATCACCAGCCAACCAAGCCTTCAGCGAGGGGTCCTCAAGAATCCAATCACAGGTACCCGGTGTTCTCGTTCTGTTCAGAGCCGAGAGGGTATCTTCCGGGTACACGGAGGGCTGGAGGATGCCCTTGAGCTTGTCTCGGTTCGATGACAGGGCCTGCTCTCTCGTTTGGGGCACACGAGTTTCTGCACGAAGGGTCTGGACGTTGACATCGACCCTGGACATCATCTCTAAAAGGCGATCCTGATTGGAGAGCGACCGTTTGACGCCAGCGCCTGTCTCGGCGATGACGAGACGCTCTTCTCCCTCCGTGAGAGTGGCAAGCTTCTTCATCGCATCTGGTACCTTGCTCTCCTTTCCAAATAGACGCTTGAAATATGACTTGAGTCGGCCACTCTTGACCTCGTGCGCTGCCAGGACGAAAATCTCAAAAATGGTGACAAGAATCTGGACGACCTTGTCGTGGAGCTCATTCGACATCTTTTGCGACACGTAGAACTTGAGTCGATTGGTAAAGTCCTGCATTTGGTCGAACAAGTCGATGATCGAGTCGTAGCATGTCGAGACGCCGTTGGCAGCATTCACCAGATACATGACTGCGGCGAAGATGGTTTGGCCGGGTGGGAAGATGTCCTCAGAGGCGCCAGCCAGGGCTTCACCGACGACCTCAAGCGGCTTACAGGCTGCGGATAGGCCTTGAAACAACTTCTGGCGCTTCTCGCGAAAACTGGTGAACTGTTCATTTTGGCGGTTGATGACGTTGAGGAGGTCTTCGGTTGTCTTCATGGGTGGGTTCATGTAGTCCTTGAGGTCGAGGCCCGTGGAGTCGGCATATTGTTTTTGGGCATCGGCGAGGATCGCAGCAAATTGCCGATTAATGCTGTCGGAGCGCAGCAACTGCGACTTCTCATCCATCTTGGGCGCTCAGTTGATCGTCAATCACCTGCGCGAGGCGCGCGTTTGTATCCCCGCGGGGCAATGGCGGGGTATCTCGTGTGTGGGGTCCGGACGGGGTCGACAATAGAAGCAGAGAAAATCGACACGTTACACGATGATCGCAGTGTAACCCGTCCTACCGTCCGAATGTTATATACCGGATGGGTAAGTGTGAAGAGCGGGAGGAGCGCGGGAGCGGCCGTGGCAGCACAGCCGGTAAGACAACCTAGGGTCAGGCTGAACGATGTTTGAGATGGTGGTGACAGACTGAGCCAACACGAAGCAGCTGGAGGCACCAATCAGTGTGAGGCAAATGAGCCACGCCGTCTCAGCGGGAGGCAAGTCAGGCGAGGCAAGGCGGTGACTGCAGGCCCCAGAAGTCTCAGCACGCGTGACGGGCCTGTCATGAGCTCGTCAGCTTATTGGACAGGAAGCGGGTGAAGCGGCTCGCTGTTTGTGTGGGAGAATGGAAGAATTGCAGATTTAGTGCGCAAGAATGAGGCGCGGCGCATGCAGAGTAAGCAGCGTAGGATTCAACGTGGGCCTCAAACGAGACGATACCTGCGCGGGGTGCTTGACTTGACACGCTGTGTCTGTAATTAGCATCGCGAGTGGTCAATTTGGGGTCGAGAGTCATGATCACGGTCGGCTTCGTTCGTCGTCGCTTCGCTTGGAGGAGGCAGCGACAGGCGAAGGCCAGGCAGCGGCAAAAACCAGGCATGAGCCACCGAGCTGATGAAGGAAAAGTGGCGATGGCATGCCAGTTCAGCCTTGCAAGTTCCTTTCCGATGCACTTTCTCTGTGCAGGCACCCAAAATGTGTCATCCTGAGGTGTGATTCGGCTAGATGAAGTGGAAGGTGACAAAATAAAAATAAGGCAGGAATAAAATAAAGAATTATTATTAGAATGCCGTCGCCGGTTTCCGAAGACGAGGTACGTACCTCCGGCCGAGTATCGGAGCGGATCCGGAGCTTCGGCCTCGGAGCGGACCGGTGGTTATGTCATCTGCTGATGTAAGCACGCTGTTTCGAGCTGAGGGCTCGGAGGGGTATCTTTCAGCCAATCAGAGCCGCCGGAGCGCGACTCCGGTCTCTGGGAAACAAATCCCCTCATTTTTTCCAGCTACGCGGATCTCGATCGTCCCCCTCAACTCAAGCTCCCGCGCCTGACAGGATGGAAATGTCGTCCCAACCATGCGGGCTTCCTGAATAAACCGGCAGTCTTCTCTAGCATCACCGGTCGGATTTTCCAAGAAACCTTCAGATGGCACGATAAAAGCCTGATCTATGTTTCCATTCGCAGTGGAACCTGCATTTAAAGCTTCGAAATCCCAACTTCGAACGAATCACGGACCTGGGTTTCGTACCCCTCAGAATCATCATGACCTCACTTCGCCTCGCACCCGCGTCTCTGGATTCCCGGATTTTGCAAGTAGTTTGGGGGATTATTTGATGGCCATTCATGTCTTGAGTTTAGTAGTTCTGTGCCTCTCTCAGTCATTTAAATGCCTTTCTCAGTCTTTGACAACCGTGATTCTACAAACAATAGACAAGCTGCAAATACTTCTGTTGAGGTTTAAGCTTTTGGTCACACGCAAGCCTGTGGTCAACTAACAAATCAACATGCCTGCTGAGTGAACCCGCGGAGATGCTTATTACAAGCCTTTATCGGTAAGCTTACTTGTGTTGCCGCCTTGCCTTGAGAGGGCTCTATCACTTGTCGTGTTGTAGTAGTGACTTGCGCAACTGACCTGCAATACCATAGTCGGCAACTAATATTCGCGTGTGGGTTGCTCTACGCGGCCAGAACAATGGAAAGGCTTCTTTATCGCTTGGAACTCCCGCGTGCCCGTGTTTCACAACCCAAGTATGACATCGGTGGCAGATCACGACAGCGTACCAAATGCCCTTGTGTTGGCATATCTCCCTGTTCAACATCTGTGAGGTGCATCCAGAATACGACATCAAAAGCTTGGGGCTCCGGGGTCGAGTCGCTCACACCCACGCGGCATGCAATTTCTGTCGATGGCCCTACTGCAGGCGATGGCTTCAGCCTTCGGATACACAAAGATGGAATCGCCGGGCTGCTGCTGCTCTGCTGCTGCTGCTGTCACTCTCTACCGCACTCGCCGCCGACTGCGCCGTGTCGATGCCGCTGATAAACCTGCCTCCCTTCATCTTGGAATGATGGGGTCATCCAACAGATTTATCGGTGAGACCCAATCCAGCACTTATGGCAGCTCAAAGTTCAGCGAATGACGAGGCACAGCCGCTTCTACGTATGGACTCTTGGTCACCATTGCATGCGGAGGTTGATGGAAAAGCTTCATCAATACCCTAAGACGGTAAGACCGAAATAACGACCTTCAAATCCGTTATCCAAGGACACCCATTCCACTACCTTGGTTCTTCAGGTGTCAGCCCAATGCTGTCGGCAGACCTGCCTCGCCTCGATTACCGCTGCTATCTCCCCAGCTGGAAGAACCTTTGATGACAAGGCCAATGACGAACAGCAATTGCGATAACGATGAGAGGAGCACCGTAGTAGGAAAATACGGCACGTCACTGAGAAATCCGGCAGATTTCTTCCTGTCTCATCTCCCAGGTCGAATGCAATGGAAGTTTCGATTGACGGCTCCGGGCATTGGTCTGCCCGCTGCCGTAAGTTACGGTAAGTACTGTTTGACTGATCGAGCTGGGCCGTCATGAGATCTTGCTCATTGGGAATCGTGAAACGGTTGAACACGTATCCTCCAGCCGCTTATCTGGGTATGTCTTCCCACAGCCCGATGTCAAAAACGTCTTCTGAACTGCTCATCTCAGCTCCGCAAAAACGGCGTCCTACCGGGGTTCAAATCGACGCTGGACTCACAGACACCGGACACACACACGGACAAAACGCAAAATCTCGACGGGATGATCATAAAAAAGAAGACGGGCGGAAAACTGGCCCAGGCATAAAATGTCGACTGAGTGCTGACTATCAGCAGCGAAACGGAGCGCAGCCAAAATGGCAAGCCAACTAACCCTTGCCGGGAACTTGCTGGGCAAGGGTGATGAACACAGTGTGAGCATTTTCCGAGTAACCCGTCAGGCCGCCATCCGCGTGAGAAATTGTTATGCAGGTACATTCACACTCGCATGGCATGGCGTCTCCCCTCCCCCATCCCATGCTAGCCGCTGGCAACACAACGCAAAGCCTCCCCTCCACTTTGACTTGTGCTCCCCAAGACTCGGTCGGTGTGTGTGTGCTTGTGTGTGTGTGTCTTCTCTCTGTGTGGTGTGGGCAGAGGGGGGAACCCTTTAGTGTGTACCTACTCTCTCGTCTGCAGATGGCGCAACATTGCTGTTTCTCTTCCTTTTGCGAAAATTCGTTCCCTCTCTCCTCTCTCTCCGAACACAAAAACTTAGTATCGACAACCGGTTGCAGCTTATTATGAAGTCATCTTCGCACACCGTTGTCGACTCACCTCCCTCTTTCCCCGATCGCTCCGCCGGTACCTCCACGGCCACCCCAGCAGTCCTTCTTCGAGACGTCCTTTCAGTCTCGCCACAACGCTGCAACCCATGCAACCGGAACGGAAATACAGAAGCATTCTTCCAGGTCCTCCGGCCAACAACCCGAGATCCCTTACTGACGACGATGGGGATGCCGCCTCCTCATCGGCGAGTGGAGGTCTTGGGGGCCAGGAGGGCTCCAAGAGGAAGCGCCGAGCCACGACTAAAGCCTGCAACAGCTGTCGGGAGAAGAAGATAGGGGTACGTTGTTCACTTCCGCCGCCGCCTCTTCTGCTCTGTCTGTGAGTCTTTGGCCGTCGTCGGGTTATGAGATTTTGCCAAAGACTCATCGTGGTATTGAACACCCGTCGTTCCATCTTGGTGTTGCGTAAGCGGGAACCGTTGCCCATGTACAGAGAGACACTGGTGTGGCAAGTAGTGTGTGCTCTCGGCAAAAGTCTTCTCTCTTCGTAACACAAAGACACATCTGATTTAATGCCTGTCGGTCAACAACCCTTGCCCATCATCCTACTGACATCTCTTCCAGTGCAACGGTTTGCAACCATGCAGCCACTGCCAGCGCCGCGGTCTGGCCTGCGAGTATGCGACCATATCAAAGACCATTCTCAACTCCATCCCCTCGGGGATGAAGCTGCTCAACGAATCGACAGCAAAGACCCAGAGGTATGCCGCAGAGCTTCTGAGCATTCTTCGCTCTCTCCCCGACGACCAGGTTCGAGACGTCCTCCAGCAGTTGCGGGCTGGGGGGGAGGCCTCGAACATCGTCGCGTCCCTCCGGGGACAACTCCATTCTGCTTATGACGTCCCCTTCCACGGGATCCTTCACGGGGTCCCACCTCCAGACCAGAACTCTCTTGAATTCGAATTGATGGTGCGTCACGCCATCGCTTACTCACCTTGGGCCCCGACAGAAGTCCCGCATCTCGACTTTGAGCTCTCTTCTTCCTCGAGGCCCAGCCAAAGTCTGTCCGTCGAGTCTCCGTCCACCGCGTAAGTAGCCACCCGCCGGACTCATCGTTAAGGAACTTGACAGTCCACCAGGCCAAAGCCGGAGTTGCATCTTGGCCAACTATGCAACGCGCTTCCTGTGTTCGTATATCCTCAACCGTTCTTCGCGGCTAATCCGTCCTCAGAGTCTCCCCCATGTCAACCGACACACCCTCCCCGTTGCCGCCAACAGAATCGGAATCATCGTTTTCCGGCCACAGGACCAGGATTCATCCGGAACCACGCGACAGCAGCACCTCAAGTCAGAGCCTAAGCGGGCCGAGCAAGTTCGGGAGCAGGGAGTCCGGCCTCCCAGATCTCCCCGTTCTGTGCGATGAAAGACTGCAGAAACTGGACCCATCGACGTGGACAAACGTTCCCATACCCCCCGAAGCAGCGAGAAGAGCAATCTCATTGTACTTGGAGACCGACCACACCATCACCGCCCTGTTCGACGTTGATCTCTTCCTCGACAGCCTGGTTTCGGGCAGCTCTCGATTCTGCTCCAAGCTGCTATTCAACTCTCTTCTCAGTTGGGCTTGCGTGAGGCTTTAATTTCCCCGTCGAATACCCGTAGCCGTGGACTCCTCTAACCAATCAACAGCAAGGTTACACTGCGTACGAGCCGGAGGCTTCCGCTTGGAGTTATGCCTTTTACGACGAGGCAATCCAGCTTCTGGAGGAGGATTGGAGGCTGGGTTTCGTAGCTCCGGTCACGGTTTCGGCATTGCTTTACTTGAGCATGTCGTCCATGTGTCACGCGAAGAACATGACGGATGCCTCGAAACACCTCGAGAGCGCAATCGACCTCGCCAAGAGCATCGGGCTCTTTGGCATCCCCGAAGACGAAATGGTGGAGGCATGGCCGGAAACCGGCGCGGACATGCTGTGGGAAAAGGCCACCGCACAAACTGCTTGGGGCAGTTTTGTCTACATCACGTACGTTTCAAGGAGTTGTTTTCTCAAACCCGCGGTTCCTTTGAGAGTCCAGCTTCTCCCCAAATATCTCCGGTGTCGATATTGACGGCTGCAAGGATACGATGCGTGCACGACCAGGCATGCAAAATCACTTTTCCGCCAAGGACGCCGATTCCAGGATACACGAACGACATTGGCGAAGCGCTGACATCGGATGAGCAGCAATTGCCAGCATATGCGGGGCAGACGTTCTCTTTGCTCTGCAAGCTGGTTCTCATAGCTCACGACATGATTTGGATGAATTATGCCAGCAACAGCGTACAGACCACGGCTCATTCGATGGTGGAGGCGATGGAGTTGGTGTACAGACGATACCTGGCGTGGGCGGACGATCTACCCCTGGAACTGGTGCGCAGCGGTGAGAGTGCGCATCACGTTCTCCTTTTGCAGTAAGTAAACTCTCCACGGACGGGAATCAGACGATGGGGACCGTCTTCGAAGAGATGGTCGAAAAGGGGGCTGACGAGAATATCCACAGCACCTACCTGCACGCCTTCGTGCTAGATCTATTTCGCCCCTTATTCCGACACGGCGACGCGATGCGCACCAGACTCGAGTCTTTCACGTCCCAGCAGGCCTCCCCGGAGGCAGTCTGCTCCGCGTCCGCCACCCAACTGAAAAGGATCGCCATCACGTACCTCCAAAACTGCCCGTCGGCCTCGTACAGCTTCCTCTGGCAAACGGCGCTGCTCTACGTCGCGAACGCGGCCCTCCGCGAGTCGGCCCAGGCGATCGACAGCTCCGAGCAGCGATCCGACTTCCGCACGTGCATCATCGGGTACCAGAAGCTGCAGCGGTGCTTCAGGCTCCCGCAGGCGATCGTCCGGGGTCTGCTTTCGATGGTGTTGCGGGAGGGGCTGATGACGTCCTCGGAGGCGCGGGCCATCATCAAGGATTCGGAGGAGAAGGGGAAACACCACCCGTTGCTGGAACCGATACTGGCGCCGTTCGTCGTCGACCTCGACATTTGCGTGGTGGATCGGTCGGCGGCGCTCGTCGACAGACTGGCGGCGGAATTCGACGAGATTGCGATACTCAACGAGTTCACGATGGTTACGGCGGGAAGGGAAGGCATGGAGAGTTCGGCTGACATACTCGTCTACGACGCGGACAGCTGAGGGGCTGGAGCGGGGGATGACGACGCGGCATGACATATACCCAAGTGAAGGCGAAATACGAGAGACGTGGTGGCTTGGTATTTGGACACGTTCTTTTCCAGGGGAACCTCTGTTGCGGCGAATATTAGAGCGGGAAAAGGGGCGTCATAAGAGAATGTTGAGACTAGGAAGAGCTACGTGGCAACATTGGGTGATGAGCTGAACAGGAAACAAGTGAAATGGATGTTGTCAAAATGTCAACAACGAATAGAATCATGAAAATGAAAAAGACACGACGTTGAATCAATCGCTCTACACAGGGTGTGCCTCCTCTACCTATCTTGATGACGATGTCTTGGCCGAAGCGCAGGTTTTCGAGTTCTCGCGGGTCCGAAACCGCCCGATACGAAAAGAAAACTCTCATGAAATTTGGATGCGATGAAAACAGGGCAAAAAGCCGGGAAACCACTGGTTGTAGAACAGCAGTCGTCGACGATGATTAAGCTGCGGCTACTGTCAGTACGTCATGGTCCAGCCCTTCCGATCCTCGCAGCGTAGCACCAGCTGACAGGCAACCGGCGAATGCCATGGAAAAGGAGGGGGGTTCATGGGTTACCAGACAAGCCGATATGGATCTAGATAGCCCGTGCTAGGCCTGAAGTCGCAACTCTTCCGTTGTCTTAAACTGGAGACTTTGAAGGCCGTTAACGAGAGGGTTTCGACGTGACGACGCTTGGAACGACGACAGCTGTATTGGTATCGGAACACAGGCGAGTTTGCAACAACTAAATCAGCCCGAAGTGCTGCCCGGGCATCGAGTCCCTTTTGTTCGCCACCAAAGATCGCATCCAGCACCATGGCCATGTCCCCCCTCAGTCTCCACAGGGGTCTCCGAGCTGGTCTGGGCATCTGAAGGGGGCCGCAAGGAGGTGTGGTAGCGGTGGTGTTGTAGCTGTCCATCAACCCTAGGGCCTCCCCGAGCAGCTGGATTCCGCGTTTGATTGCGTGAAAGGAGTCTTCTGCCCATAATATCGGCTGTCCGTCCAATCCCGTGGCGCCGTAAGGACAGTAAGGCGTGTGACAGCTGGACACGGTGCCTGTCAAGGGCTCGTTAGCTCAGATAATGATGCCCAACGACGAACGCAGAACGCTGCAAAGGCCATTAGAGTAGCAAGCAGGGGGGCAACAGGAGGAGCCGGGGTTTGATTTTCATCCACCAGAGACATTTCATTGGCGGAGTCCTCTCCGGTCGATCTAGATTGGCTGGAACGCCTCCCGTTCCATTCTCGAAACATCATTGGATGCTTCATCTCTGTGTTCGGCGTTGTGGGTTTGGCCCCTCGTCCGTTCCACGATGCTGCCTGACCGGAGGCGGCTCCGGGGCGGCAAAAGATCTAATTGGGGGTCTCACGTGGCGCCTCGAGCTAGGGAAGAATTGGTATATCAGCTCGTGTGTCGCCTCCAAGTAGCCAGTGCTCGAGGCATACGGCATCCTTACTGTCTGCCAGTACAGTTTCATCTCTGCGTCTTGGAAGCTTCTTGTCCCACGTGTGGTCTGGGTTGATCCCTCGATCAGCTCCGGAGTTGACTCCGATGTTTCGGTGCTCCGGTTCCTCTTATTGGCGAGTCCATCATGTTAACCTTTGGCATGAACTTTTCAGGGTCCTCCGGGAGGGGGAGGGCATCGACCGAATCGATGACGGCTTCCGCCTAGACCTGCCTTCCATGTTCAATTCCGTCCGGACCCTGAATGTTCATGCTCTTTTTTTGCTTCGCCGGCAGCCTTCATGACTTGGTTTTCTGGCAGCTGATATCTTGTTACAGCTCGTCAAAGTCCGAGCAACCCATCGTTCGATTCTGGTTCGATTTGCGGATTACACTTTTTCAACGCCTTCACGGTCCCTTCGCGTTACTCCGCATCGCTCCTGAGGCATTCATCGGAGTCCAAGGATGGTGATGGACGCGCTCCATCCCTTTCCAAGAGAAAAAGAAATATCAACTTGGCATCCCATCCCTTTCGACACTTCCTCCGGCCTCCAGACGCTAGTCAGTCCAATCCTTCTTTGTCGAGTCGGCGAATCAGCCAACCCAGGCATACCCCGAGGTCAATTCCAACAGCCGACGTCGTCGCAAACGCTGTATGCACACCACAGCCAAGCGCCCGGGGGCGTTTTGGTTCTTTCTGTTCCAGTACCCCCCTCGGAGTAGCTCCGAGGCCTTGGATTGGACAGCGAACTCGGAGATCTGGATGGCCGCGTCCCGTACCCGATAAGCAGCCACCATGCTGATTATGGTTCATTCTTAGCTATGCATAATTGCCCAACTTCATTGCGCGCTCGTCCGCTTCGACCGAAAGAACCCGCTCATCGCACCCATCAGCTGCGGCAGTCCTTTTTCGTGGCTGTCGCCGTCCATGCCCCCCCGAATCCATCCCGGAAGCTTCTTGCGAATCCTGTCCGTCCCATATCTGCGATCGACGAGAACAATGGCTGCGTAATCGCCCTGGTGCCGGATGGCTCGGCCGATGCTCTGGTTCACGGCGCGCATGCACGCGTTTTCGTAGAAGTCCCTGGCTGCCTGCTTCGCCGTCGCGACGGCCTCCTCTCTCGATATTTTCGTATCTGCCGACGGGTCGGTGAGCCGCTGAACGGTTGCGGTCTCGATGTACTCCGTCTTGGCCTTCCATTCGGGGGAGTTGATGTTGGGATACGGCAGCCCAACGATGACGACCAGTCGACCGAGCCGATCGGAAAAGTTGATGCCCTCGCTCATCTTGCCGCCAACCACGCTGAGGAGCAGGGCACCGCGGTTCTTGGAGGTTGCGCCCGGTTTGGATTCGCCGTCGCCTAGGATGGCCTTGCTGTAGGCCTCTAAGACTTCGTCGCTCGAGCCGCCGCGAGTCTCCTTGAAAGCCTGCTTTCGTTCCTGCAGACGTTCCCAGATGGACTTGGGTTCCCCGGGGTTCTTGGTCTCCCAGACGGCAACGACCTCGTCCAGGTAGCCGTAGCTGGGAAAGAAGATGACGACGCCGTCGGGCACGACGTTACACATGTTGAGGATTGCGAGGCCTAGCTGGCTGACCATCGCCTTGTCGCTTCTCCGCTGGAAGCTAAACTCAAAGGTGCAGCTGACGTCCCTATTAGGGGTTGGTCGTGTGCCTGCTAAAGTCCATACGCAAAGGTTTGACGGCGGGATAACGTGTCCACAGCTCAGAGTCGTGAGCTTGGATTCGGAGAGGTAAGGGAAAAGATGGGACTTGTAGTCATCGAACGGTGACATGGTGCCGCCAGCGAGGATGACCGCCCTGGCGCTGGTGGCGATGGACGAGAAGGCATGGGTAGGTGACAGCAAAAGGTAGGAAAGTTGAATGTCTGGCGGATTAGATGGAATCTTCTCGTAGAATATGCGACCTTCTGAACTGAGGTTGGTGAGAGATATGAGAAACGAAGATAGAATGTGCAGGACCGGCGTAGATGACCTCGATGGTGCCTTGCCAGGGTTTGCTTGCGCAGCTTCTTCCTCGACGTGCGCAACATAGCTCTCGATCTTGTACGCAAGCTTCGAGTCCTGAATGTATTGAATCAACTTGAAGAGGTTGATCTGGTCCACGCCTTTGCAGCGGAGGAGGACCTTTGAGTCGACGATGCCGTGAGCGTTCTGCAAACTGGTTAGAAGGAATGAGGAGCAGCAAGCGTAAAAGTCTTACCTTAAGCTTCACAGCGCCGTCCATCCACTCAGTAAGGCCTTCGATGACCCTTCCAACCTGCCCAACCATGACGCGGTTCTCGCCTTTCAACTTCTTGCCGAATCTCTTGACATAGACACCCAGCATCTGGCGCGCCCTTCTGAGCTCGCTCAGCTTGACTTCAGACGCATAGACGTTGGCAACCGCATCCATGATGTTATGCGCCTCGTCAACAATTACCACGTTGCCTTCCAGCTTGATGCCGAGGGCGTCTCTGGCATTCTTCTGGAGAAGCAAGGGGTATGGCAACGTAATGATCTCGGCGCCAGTGATGGCCGCTCTGGAAGCATAATACGGGCATACAGAAAGCTTCTTGCCGAGGTGGTACAGGTCTTCGATGTCGGGCAGTGTGGCGTGGGCTGTGTCTCGAAATTGGTGCGTCTGGCTGATATTGTCTTCCTTCAGCGTGTAGGGACATTTGTCCTTGGCTTTGGGCTTCTGCAGCTCAGAACAGCGGTCATTGATCGCGGGCAATGTGCCTAAGCGTGCGACGGACGGATTGATGCAGAGTTTCTGTCGTGACGATAGGGGCAGATGCTTGATCGGCTCCTTGGCAGGACGCGAGTCTTCACTTTCGGCGGGTTTGATTGATGGTGGCATAGACGACGGGAACTCGGGGCGTCGAAGTTCATGAATGAATTGCGTGAGTTGAGAATGCGTTCTTGACGTGTAGTATATCTGATCACATTGATGTTACCGACGCGCTCGCCGCCAGCAAAAGGGGGCTTGCGCACCTTGACTCCGTCCTCGACCTTGTCCTCCTCCTGCTCCATCTTCAAGCTTCCCAAGCCAAACCGCGTCAGGATGTCTTTCGTCTCCTTGCTGAGACCAGACATGGCGTCGCCGTCATTGGCCGCCCCGGAGTCGTCGGCCTCGTCAAGCAGCCACTCGTCATCCTCGTCGATGTTGGCCTTCGACTTCGAAGGACCATCGTCGAAGCGACGTCTTTTGGCGCTGCGGGCTTCGAGGACCTTTTCCTTCTGACGGATCTGCTCCAGCTTCTTCTCTCGCTCTTCCCAGGTGCGCGACAGTTCCTCCCGCTTGCGCCGGAGCATTTGCTCCACGATCCAGTCGGGCTCATCCTTGAAGTCGTCCATGTTGACTTTGAGCGAGGCTTCATGCTCCTCGAGACGCTGATTTCGCAGCCATGTCAACGACGCACAGATGAGCGAAAGAGATTTGCCCTTTTTGATGTCAGTTAACTGTACTGGTGTCGGTGCTTCGAACTGGTCACCTACCGTCCCTGTTGGACTCTCCAGAATGCCAACCTGGCCGTTACCACTCTGGAGTACTCCGTATGCTGTCTTCATAAAGTCAGTCTGCACGTCATATGGTGTGTACGGATGGTTGAAGTCGATGCCCTCAGGCACTGGCAGGTCACCGCCTGCAGCCATGGCGAGGGAAGGCGCATGCACCTGTTTAGAAAACGAGACAGAAAAGTTTGCGATGTGTTGGTAGGAAAGCTCGCCGTTAGATATAGGAGCGATGCGTCTCTGTTGCAACTGTCGAAGTGGAATATCAGAGGCAATTGACTGGTTGGGAATGGCTTCAATCAGATTGGACAGTGACAGTGACAAAGGGATGATGAAAAACAAAGACCCACCGGAGCTTCTCTCCCGGGGGTCGTCTCGGTGAAGAAAACGTTCCAGACCCTTTTCGGTCAGCTTCCCAGGGTGAGCAACGCACAGACCGAAAAACAAGCGAGGCCAGCCCTTTTCCGCTGACATAACACAAGCACAACCGGCAAAGTCGAAAAAAGAGGCCAAAAGCACAGACCACCCCTCGCCCAAGAAAATATTCTTAGGGTTGTCCTGCCCTCCGCCCCGCTTACGCCCCGGAGAAACCTGCCGGGCGCGGACGCAACACCCTCACAAATTCCTGCGTCTTGCGACCTCCGTCGAAAAAATCCCCATCCGCGATACCAGCAAGACGACCACCGATCAAGAACCGTCGCCATGCCTACCCGATTCTCACGCACCCGCAAGCAGTACGTTGTTCAATCCAATCCGTTTTCCGAACGTCCGCCATGAGAGATTGCCGAGATTCGTCGTCGCCGCGGTTTGATTTCGTTGGAAGGGGAGGATTTGGAAGATGTTGAAGGGATCTTTTTGTTGTGAGGGCATGAGGCCACGATCGAGGGAGGGGAGGGCAAGATTGGGCCACAAACAACCGACAACGACGACGGCGACATCGACACGAATCTCGCTACTCGGGAGGAACAGCTCCTTGCAATTTGATCACGGAAGCTGACTTCATTTTCCTACAGCCGCGGTCACGTCTCCGCCGGTCACGGACGTATCGGCAAGCACCGCAAGCACCCGGGTGGTCGTGGTCTGGCCGGTGGTCAGCACCACCACCGCACCAACTTGGACAAGTACCACCCTGGTATGTCTCGATTCTTGTCTCCGGGAAGCGTCTGAGGCAGTCTGGCTAACGTTCGCGCGCAGGTTACTTCGGTAAGGTTGGTATGCGCTACTTCCACAAGCAGCAGAAGTATGTACACCCCCGACTCCGAACGGCGTGAAAGGCTTCCCGGCTGTGCTCTGCGGTTTCGACTCCGACATGACATTTTCGACAACCACGACGCGCTTCGGATTTGTTTGATGGACCCCGCGCCAACTTGTGGGATGGAATTCACGGACACGCATCATCGGAGGGCATGTCACCCGCGCACATCTCGATATCTCGAAAAATGCCGTCGCTGCCACGAACCGCAGAGCACACCGCGAGACCTCTCACCCGAGGATCCCCTCAGTTGTCGCGTCACGTACTAACCCCGTCCCGCAGCCACTTCTGGAAGCCCGTCATCAATCTCGACAAGCTCTGGACCCTCGTCCCCGCTGAGAAGCGCGATGAGTACCTCGCCGGCAAGAAGGACACCGTCCCCGTCATCGACCTCCTCCCCTTCGGCTACTCCAAGGTCCTCGGCAAGGGCCGCCTCCCCGAGGTCCCCATCGTCGTGAAGGCCAGGTGGGTCAGCAAGCTGGTACGTTGCCCTCCTCCCCCCCATCTTTCTGCATGACGTGACGACTGACACGACTCACAGGCGGAGAAGAAGATCACCGAGGCCGGTGGTGTCGTTGAGCTGGTGGCATAAGATTGTTTGGGAATAGTTCCGTGGGGAAACATACCAAACAACCAAAAAAGGACTACTTTGACGTATTGGGAATGACGGCCATGCAGCCTCGGAGCGGGCGGCGGAACCCGCTTTTTATGTCACAAACTTGCGCGCTTGGCGGGACATGGGAAAGGGCCCCAAGGGACGGCTTTTCGCATTGCATGAAGATCTGACTTCCAAGGAGTTAAACCGAATAAAAAAAGGCTCTTGATCTCTCAACATCATCATGGCGGGGGGTCGGTCATCATCGTCAGTCCCGTGTCACACATGGTGGCGCGACGCCGGGTCGCGTCTTTCTTGTCTTGTTTGGGGGCGGCGTCTACGGTCTGGGTCAAGTCGGACGGACGGGTACGATTGAAATGGTATTACTTTACGTCGACTGTCTTGTGTCGTCCTACTTGGTGCACTGCTTGTTTGCCTGCCTGCCTATTCCCCAATGCTTTGATGCTTCATGGTATCGTGATGAAAGGCAGCTTTGGAATCTGCCAAGCCTCCCAACGCCATCCGCCCACCCGCCTCGTACAAATACATAGATGCCGTCACTGCCGTCCGGGGTATGAACATTGGTATCACTGTCTCATTTGATGCCAAAATATTACCATTACGCCTCCAACATGTCCATCTCGTCATCCTCCGTCTCCACCGAGGGTTTGGGCTCTGGCTCCCGCAAGAACGGGTGCTCCAATGCCTCCTTGGCACTGATTCTCCTGGCTGGGTCGAGCTCCAGGCAGCGGCCCAAGAACTCGACGGCCAACTTCTCCTCGTCAGTCAGTGGAATGCCGGGCTGGCCGTCCTTGCCGCCGTCGGTACGACACGTTGACCACAAAATGATCTTCTCCAGCGAGAAGCCTGCACCGCCAACGGTGGGGATGTTGGTCTCGAACATGGCGCCGTGCAGGAGGCCGGCCATCTTCATGCGCTTGGTGCCGAAGATGGTGGCGATCTCAATCATGGCCTCGACGTCGTCGGCACTATTGAAGAACGGAAAGCGCTTGCTCATTATCGTCAGCAGAATGACACCCGCGGACCAGATGTCAATCTTGGTCGTCTGTTCTGTGCACTTGAAGAGAACCTCCGGGGCACGAAAGCCTCTCGTGCCGGCACGGTTGGCTCGCCGCGACGGTCGAGTGTCCGTTTTGGGGTAGCCTTGTTGCGGTCCGTTGTGCGATGCCGCGGGGCTGTTCTGTATCCTGTGCTTGCGGACCTCTTTAGTCTCGTGGCACAGGCATGGCTTGCTGTCGGATCCCTCCCGCTCTGCGAGACCGAAATCGACCAGCACACCGCGGCGTGATTGGGGATCGTAGAGAAAGTTCGTGGGCTTGATGTCGCGGTGGAGGATCTTGTGGTCGTGGACGGCCTTGAGTGCAGTGAACAAGCTGCGGAGGTAAATGACCATGTCCGAGACCTTCATCTGGCGGAAGTAGTCACGGAAGTCCTCGTGGCGGAAGTAGGGTAGAATAGCGACGACCTGATCGGTGCTGCGGAAGGCTGTTATCAGAGGGCAGACTGCAGGGCAGTTTCGTAGGTCGTGGAGCAACTCCAGCTCGTTCAGGATGCGGCTGGGACTCGACGTGACGTAGATCTTCTTGATGGCAACATAGCGCTTGCGGCGTGGCTGCTCTCTTGTGGTTGGTGTGTTGCTGCCGTAGCGCTTCAGCGGCGGGGTATTCCATTTTGTTCTCGGGTCGTCCTTTTCGATGTCCCAGTCGTTTTCGTATCTGTCGTAGCAAACGTCCTCGGCCTTGTATACGGTTGAAAATGTGCCTAGGAGGAGATGTCAGCAATTGTGCATGCAAATGCAGAAATACCATTGCAGGCGTACCTTCACCAATCCTCTTGATCAGGCGGTACCTTTGATTAAAGGTGGGAAAGTCGTCTTGGAGACGCTCAATGTCGCGCTGTGTGTTGGAGTCGACAACATCGTCCTCGTCGGAGCTCTCTTCTGAAGCGTCTTGATCGTGGTCGTCGGCATCATCGTCTTCTTCGACCTCGGTCTGGTGCTCGGAGCCAGCGACCATCTCAGTGTCCTCGGTGCGAGCGTGTGGGGGATCCTCGTGGATTTCAAAGCCCTCTCGACTTCTTTTCCTCGTGGCGGTGGCCATGGTGGCAGCACCTCGATCTCGTGTGGTTTCGTCGTCGGCGGTTACTGGGCGATGGGCCAATTGCAGTTGAGCCTGGGGCTGAGGCTGAGGTTGGTTGTTGGCGGAAGTTGGCCCCGGGGCATGGAAGGGAGAGTATGCCTTTAAGACACTGTCTGGGGTGGCCCAGTGCTCGACGTTCAAGGCCTGGCCAAAGCGAGTCAATTGGTCGATGGCATCCAGATTGGTGTGGTTGGGTTGATTGAAGCCAGCTGAGGAATCCCGCTGGGTCGAACACTGCGTCATTCGAGGCGGGAGTTTGGGGGTGACGCGAGGCGAAACGAGACGGGAAGATGTTTATGTAGTGACGGCGCCAGCCAAGTGCGTCGGGTATTATTTGTTTGGTGTAATCGGCGGTGCGATGTGGTCGGCCGTGGCGCTGCGTATTGGTCGATTGGGTTTTGCTTAGACAGGTACGGTACTTGGTGCTTCGTAATTGCTTGTAATTGGGGAAGAGGGCAATGTCTGTGGGCAGTTGGTGTCGGAGTGTCACAGCGTAGTGTCTGGTGGTGTTGAGTGCTGTGGTTGGTATATTGTGTTTCTTCTTTCCTTCTGAGAGAGCCAGGGCAATGTTTACATGTGTAAATAATACGACATTTCCAATAGAAGTCGAAATCGTAAGGGTGCTGCTTTCTCCCGCCGTCATAAGAAATCTTTCTGAGGGCTCTTGAGGTGCACCTGCTGCTCCTGCTGCACTGGAGTCTGGGCTTTTCCAAGTGGAGGGGTACCCGCCTGACCCGTCCAACCGTCTTCCGCCATTTGAGGGTACGTATCGAAGCTAGCTCCACTCCTTCCACGCGATGACCAATGGAAGCCATCATGAAAACCCCGCACCATCATTTTGGGACGAAAGTGGGAAAGTGCGACTGGGTCGCGTCAAAAGAAAACAAAAACAAAAATCCCCCTCGTTGCTAGGCGCATTTCGGTCCCTTTTTTGGGGGGGGGTCCCCCTCCGTCACAGCATGTGCACTGTTTATGTCTGTGTGCAGCGTACAGAATTGGGATGGCAATTTATCAAAACACCTTCCTCCAACATCGTCGCCAACACAAGCCGATCCTTCCGCCGATTTCTTTTCCAGGCGCGGCGCATCCTTAATTACTAACCACCGCAGCTCGGCCGCTACGGGAAACAGTGACCGTCACACACTGCACCAGGTCCTCCTCCTCCTCCTCTTCGCTTCTTCTTCTTCTTCTTTCCGCCCTCTCTTCCTCTTGATCGCCAACGGGTGCGCATCCCACGCCTCGACCGCAGCCATGGACTCGGTCGCATTCGACATCAACGATGCGCTCAAGCATTACATGAGCGATCCTGCCAGCATCCCAACTCCAGAGGCAGACGCTGCCCTCTTCGACTGCGAAAATGACCCCGAGGCCCTCACCAACGCCGTCATCAACCCCGTTCTCAACCCAATCGTTGATGCCGTCGCCGAGAACCCCGAGGCCATCACCCGCGCCGCCTACCTCGACTCTCTCCAGTTCCTCCTAAAGTGCGCACCCATCTCCAACCCCCCTTGTCTTTCAGACCCTTCTCTCTCTTCTTCTACTTCTTCTCCAAGGCCGGTTGCGACTCCCAGCGGTCGACGCAAGGTCAAACAAGGACATATCTCTAAACTATTTACATCTTCCAGGTATACCGCCTTCTTGCCAACACATGCCTTGAGCAAGATCTTCGACCTCGTCATGTCCGGCCTTGCCGCCGAGGCTGACGCGATCAATCACGACCTCGAGTCCCCCGACGAACAGGAGACACTCGCCCACCACAAGCAGCTTCTCGAGATCTACGGCTTCCTTCTGAGGTGGACTGTCGAGAGCGTAGAGACCAAGGCAGCCGAAAAGTCATCAACAGCCCCTGTCGCCCGAGGTCGCGGCAAGCCCAAGAAGAATGCGCCAAAGGGCCAGGACGGTGTCTGGGACTCCGCGACCCAGCTCCAGTCTGCCCTCGACATCATGACCAAGGTCCTCAAACTAAAGCTCTCCAAGATCTTCCTCACAACGCCCGAGAGAGACACCTTCATCGCCCTGTTGACGAAACCTGTCTACACCGTCCTTGAGAGTGAGCAGCGCTGCAAGACTACCTCCATCAGGATGCATGCTTTCAAGGTGCTTTGCATCGCCGTCAAGCACCATGGCCACGCCCACGGTAGGTCCACCTATCCAGCTGCCTTTGCCGAATACTGACAGTCGATGCAGCCGCGTTGCAAACAATCGATCAGAACTTGACCTACTTCGAGCATCTCTCCGAGCCCATGGCCGAGTTCCTTCACATCCTGGCCGAGACCTACGACTACCCCCAACTGGCTGACGACACCCTGCGCGAGCTCAGTAACAAGGAGTTCAACAGCAACGACACCAGAGGCCCCAAGTCCATCTCCCAGTTCATCGTCAAGCTCTCCGAGCTTGCACCCAGACTAGTCATCAAGCAAGTAACGATGCTTGCCAAGCAGCTCGACAGCGAGGTACTTCTCCATGCGCAGTGCTTTAAGCAAACTCTCTAACGATTCTGCAGTCATACACCCTGCGATGCGCCCTTGTCGAAATCTTCGGAAACATGATTGTCTACCTCACAAAGCAGGACGAGCGCTCTGACGACTATAAGACACAAATCAGCGCCTTCTTCGACGTATTGGAGGAACGATTTCTCGACATCAACCCCTACTGCAGATGTCGCGCAATCCAAGTCTACGTCAAGCTTTGCGAACTCGACCAAAAGTTCCCGAAACGACGACAGCGCGCCGCAGAGTCGGCCTGCCGAAGCCTTGAAGACAAGAGCAGTCACGTCAGGAGAAACGCCATCAAGCTCCTCGGCGCCCTTATCAAGACGCATCCCTTCACCCAGCTCCATGGAGCTCAGCTCTCCCGCAAGGACTGGCAGGCCCGTCTCGACAAGGTTGACGAGGAGATCAACGCGCTGCAGCCTCCCGAGGGTGCTGGCCTCGGTGATAACACTGCCGTCGACAACACGCTATTGGACGACGCCACTCAGGTCGAGCAGTCGCCTCAAAAGCCCATGACCGATGAGCAGAAGTTCGAAGCCGTCAGGAAGGCCCGCGAGGAGGCCGCGACATCAGAAGCTATAGAGAAGCTCACTCTGACGAAGCGTTACTACTCCGAGGCCTTGAAGTTTATCGACGTCCTTCACGACGCCACCGGCACCGTCTGTCAGTTGCTCGGCTCCAGGAACAAAAGCGAGGTCATTGAGGCCATGGACTACTTCGAGGTTGGCGATGCCTACAACATTGAGCAGAACAAGGTCGGCATTCGCCGCATGTTGCGTCTCATCTGGACCAAGGGCAACAGTGACGAGGGCAAGGGTGTACAGAGCCATCTCATCGATGTTTACAAGCGTCTATTCTTTGAGGCGCCAGACTCGTTCAGCCCTAACGACGCTGCCAACTTTGTTGCGCGTAACATGATCAGTCTCACCTTCGGCGCGACTCCTGCCGAGCTGACTTCCTTGGAGCAGCTTCTCAGCACCATGATGAAGGCTGGAATGATACCCGAGCCTGTTATTGCCAAGCTCTGGCAGGTCTACGGCGTGCAAAAGCGTGAAATCTCAAGGACTCAGCGCCGAGGAGCCATCATGGTTCTGGGCATGCTCGCAACCGCCAACCCCGAAATCGTGGTTGGTGAAATGGAGACGATGCTTCGAACTGGCCTCGGCTCCCATGGTCGTGCCGATCTCCAGCTAGCCAAGTACACCTGCATAGCCCTTCGCCGAATCAACCCAACCGGTAGACAGGCAAAGGACTCTCCTGTCAAGTTCTCTCGCCTACCGAATGAGCACGCACTTCTTGCCAAGTTGGCCGCGATCACTGAGGTCCCCTCGGATAGCAAGGAATGGTACGGCGTTGCTGAGCAGGCCATCAACGCGATTTACGCCATCTCCAAGCACCCAGATATCCTCTGCTCCGACATCATTCGACGAAAGACCAAGCGGGTCTTTGCTGCCCCCACGTCCAGACCAGTTTCGAGAGACGAGAGACCACCTTCTCGAGATGAGACAGGATCTCAGTCCTCTCAGTCCGAGAGCAAAGAGCCCGATGCCGATGAAGAAGGAAGCGACAGTAATGAGACTGTCGTTCCCCCGCCCAAGAAGCGCGATGCTGCTGTCGGCCTATCTCAACTTCTTTTCATTGTCGGACACGTTGCCATCAAGCAAATTGTGCATCTCGAGCTGTGCGAACTCGACTTCAAGCGCCGCAAGCAAGATCAGGAGAAGGAGAAGACGGCTGAGAAGACTGCAGCGGGTGGCAAGAAGGATGAGCCGGACGACCTCGACCTCATCGGAGGTACCACCGAGGATGACTTCACGGAGGCCATGGCTCATATCCGTGAACGTGAGCTGCTGTATGGCCCTCAGTCTCTGCTCGCAACATTCGGCCCTCTGGTCTCCGAGGTCTGCGCCAACAACACCACCTATGCCGACAAGGGACTGCAGGCCGCTGCCACTCTCTGCCTTGCCAAGCTCATGTGCGTGAGCTCCGAGTACTGCGAAGCCAACCTGCCTCTCTTGATTACCATCATGGAGCGCTCCACCGATGCTATCGTGCGTTCGAACGCTGTCATCGCCCTTGGCGACATGGCCGTGTGCTTCAACCACCTCATTGATGAGAACACGGATTTCTTGTACCGCCGTCTGAATGACAAGGACCAGTCCGTCAAGCGCACTTGCTTGATGACGTTGACTTTCCTGATTCTAGCCGGACAAGTCAAGGTCAAGGGTCAACTTGGTGAGATGGCCAAGTGCCTCGAGGATGAGGATCGCCGTATCGCCGATCTCGCAAGGATGTTCTTCACCGAGCTCAGCACCAAGGACAACGCTGTTTACAACCACTTCGTCGACATGTTTAGTCTGCTGTCGGCAGAGAAGGCTTTGGAAGAGGAGAGCTTCAGGAGGATCATCAGGTTCCTCTTGGGTTTCGTCGAGAAGGTATGTCTGAGCGTGTCTGACAAGTATTGTGTTGTGATTCTAACCTCTCCTTCAGGACAAGCATGCCAAACAACTGGCCGAGAAGCTCGCCGCCAGACTCCAACGTTGCGAGACGGAGCGACAGTGGAACGATGTCGCTTTCGCCCTCGGTTTGCTACAGCACAAGAACGAAGAGATCACCAAGACCGTCAGCGAAGGGTTCAAGGTCGTGCAACTCGCCGCGTGAAAGTAGACGAAAAAGACAGAACAGGCTGGCCAAAGGGCCGTGTAGATCTAGGGTCATTGGGTCGGCGTTGCGGTTCATGTTGGTGCTGGCTGGTCGGCTGGTTTGTCTTGCGTCACATTAGAATACCACACACAGTACTGTACGGATGATGAGACTTAATGACGTTGATGAACTTGTTCAATCAAATTTACCCCAGTTCGAATCACTCATGCTGTTGAGTTGGCTTCTCCCCCACAAAGATGGTCGATAAAACTAATGTAGTGACACGATCAAACGGCAGTGCCGGGCATGCGGCTCGGCACGCATTTCGCAGATCGAACCCGGTTGTATTTTGCTTACTTCTAGCTCCTAAATCCCCATTCATTTGCCTAGAAGCATTGTTCTTGGAAAACAGGGAAGCATACTCTCGAAAGCGACGCAAAACCTCATGACCCGAGGGGGAACGCGTATTGTCGCCGGGGCTGTGCGGGTTTTCCGACGAGCTCGCGTTTTTTAGCTTCCCCACCAAGGCCTCGTTCCCGATGAGATGATGAGAACGAGGAAGGAAAGGGGGAACGAGTCTTGGGTCCATGCAAAATCTTGGGGCGGCGATGGGATACAAATAATTGGAAATGTCGCGATACGGCGGTGCTCAAATTTCTCACTCGTCGAGACATCTCTCGTTATATATTCACTCGTTTAGATTTCTCTCATTCTATTACTAGAATGTTTTTATTATATCTGAGAGAAGTCATGCTCATCTTTGCCTTTCTGGCCTTGCTTGACGGCGTCGTTGGTGCTCCCTCACGGTCTCATCTCCCCCGCGTCCTCTCCAGATCGGTGGAAAAGACTTCCCAAAATGACACCTTCATCTACGCTTCCAACGACACGACGACTCTCACTTCAAACGGCACAGCTCCCGCCATCGTGATCCTCGATTTTGGCCGGAATGTCGAGGGAATACCCACCTTCGAGGTAATCTCAGCCTCTGGCGACACCTCACTCTTCGAGATCTCCTTCGCAGAAGCACGATCTTCGTTGGATCAGTACATGGTACTCAAACCCTCTTCCAAAACAAAATCCCAAAGACTAACGAAACCCAAGAGTGACGGCCCTCTCCCCCTCGCAGCAGCAATGGACACCTACCGCGTCAACCAACACAACATCACCGGTCCCACCATCATCACCAACCGCCTCATCCAGGGAACCTTCCGCTACCAAAAGCTGAACCTCTCGGCGGCCGGGGAACTCACCCTCCGCGACATCGGCGTCAGACCAACGACGTCCACCACCCCCCTGACCTCCCTCCCCGGCTCCTTCGAGTGCTCCGACGACGACCTCACCAGGATCTGGAGCGTCGGCGCGAGAACCGTTCAACTCACCGAGATCCCCAAGAGCTCCATCCCGGACTTCCTCCAAGTCACCGAGGAGGGCGCGTTCGCGGAAAGCGTGGCGCCTCAGGTCCTCGGGAGTGCTGTGGCTGCGCAACTCCTCAACTACCGTCTCGAGTTCCAGGTCAAGCCCGTCAAAGGCGGGTTCGGATTCTCCGTGCTCTCGGACACGCTCAACAGCGCCGTTTACATCTCCTTCGACCTCACAAAGAGAGAAGTCACGGCCCATGCGGGCTCAACAACCTTCGACACCCGACTCGCGTCCGCAGCCCTCCCCTCAAACGCCACCATCACCCTCGGATCATGGCACACCGTCCACGCCACCGTCGACATCACAGACATCGCCGTCTCCGTAAACAACACCCCCGTCCTCTCCCTCTCCCAAACATCCCGCTTCTTCGGCTCCTTCGGCTTCGGCGCCTCCCTCGGCCACGCCGCGTACTTCCGCAACCTGACAGCGACGACCCCGACGGGCGATCTCATCTACACGCACCCCCTGACCGACCGCTCCTTCCTCCCCGACTTCTTCATGGGCGCCAACCCGGCCGACACCATCGTCGACGGCTCCCGGCGCGACCGCATTGCCTACACGGGGGACCTCGACATCGCGATGGGCGCCGCGTTCGCGAGTACTTTCGGCACCTCCTTCGTCGACGGCTCGCTGGATCTCATCGGGTCGTACCAGGTCACCCCGGGCTTCTTCACCCCCACGGCTAAGATCCAGCAGGCGCCGCTGGGTGCGCCTCTGGATGTCAACATCACGGGGTTGATCGGGTACTCGTTCAACTTCGTCACGGCCGTCGCGCAGAATTACGAGATGAGAGGGGATATTGCTTTCGCTCGGGCGTGGGCGCCCAAGGTTGTGAGGATGCTGGACTGGGCGGATTCGCAGACGCTGCCGAACGGATTGTTCAATTTGTCTGATGCTTCGTTTGGGGGCGATTGGAACTACTACGATCCCGTCCAGTCTGGCGTCGTGACCAAGTTCAACGCGGTTTATGCGTATGCTTTGCAGCAATCTTTGAGGCTGCTTGAGGACGGCGGTGTTGATGCGGCGGTGTATCGGCAGAGACTTGGCCGTCTTCGGGCTGCTATTAATGAGAATCTCTGGAGTGAGGATCTAGGCGTTTATGTCATGTCCGATACGTTCAGAGATGGCTTCTCGCAAGACGCGAACGCGATCGCCATCCTCGCTGGCGTCCCGACTGGCGGCGTTTCTAACTCGTCTTCGTCTCGATCTCCTGCCTCAATCCTCTCCGCCATGGCTTCCGGTCTCGCTGCGCCCGCCGGAGCCCTCGCTTTCTCCACGTCCACTGCGAAAGCCGGCTGGGCTGAGAAAGTCAGCCCATACGCCGCGGCATATCATCTCCGCGCCGCTCTTGAGTCCCGCGATGCGTCGTCTGCGATGATGCTTCTGAAGAAGACATGGGCGCCGATGGCGGATCCGGCGAATACAAACTACACCGGGTGTTTCTGGGAGACGCTCAACCCAGATGGTACGCCCGGGCTTGGTACGGTGACCTCTCTGTGCCATGGTTGGGCCGCCGGTCCCACGGCGGAGCTGAGCAAGCATGTCCTTGGCGTTCAGCCTACTGCTCCGGGATTCAAGGAGTGGATGGTTCAGCCTCAAACTCTGGGTCTGATGTGGGCTAAGGGGAGGTATCCGACTGTTTTGGGGGGCATCGTTGTTAATTGGCGGTTTGAGGATGGGTTGCTGCGGATGAAGGTGGTCAGCCCTGCTGGGACTGTGGGTAAGGTGTACATGCCCCAACCCCTGATGACACCGCTTGAGAAGTCTGTCATCCGTGTCAATGGGGTCGCTCGGAACGGGACGCAGTTTGAGGTTAAGGGAGGAGATACGTTCGAGTTGACCCAGAGCCTTCTAGGTTAAGGACCCCAGGCAAATGGTGACCATGTAATAGTCGTTCACATCAGTATCAGACTTTTCTGCATATTTCATACCCGTGGTAGTTATATTGCACATGTATTGCGAGCGATGGTAGCAACGGGGGCATCAACCATGCACCCTCCTCTATGTTACTGCATTTTAAGGCCCTGTGAATGGACCAACGAGCGTGATGCATCACACATCCAGCCAATGGCACATCAATATGATCTCTCCGGTATCTGGATTCGGCTTTTTTGACATGAAGCCGGTATCAGAAACCCGTCATGACGCTAGGTCAGAAGTGATGATACTCTACACAATCTAGGTACGACGAACAAGACAAACACTGTGCGTTAAATCTTCATTGAACGATCGTTCTCTTTAATTCCATTTTATCGACCGCACTGGGAATGTGAAGTACGAAGAACATCAGGTCCAGTCTTCTCCCAGTACCGCTGGGTATACCAAGAAGCAAGAGAGCCCGAGGAAACTGAAGTTGAAACCACAGATGGGAGCATCCAAGACCCTGAAAAGCCCATGCAGACACATTTCTCTTGTCAGGCTCAGATGTCAACAGTCCGCTGTCACAGATCTGCCCTGTCACACCAGAGCACAGCCCGAGAAATCCTGTCTTTTCACTGCATTTTAATACGCCCCCAAGGCTCTGAGAAGGCAAGTCCAAAACCGAAAACACTCGCCGCGGGTTTGAGCAGAGCCGCAGTCCCTTCACTGCATTTTAAGCCCGCCCGGAGGCGAGAATACGTCCACCATCTGAGGTAAGACGTTGGACAGTTGCTCAACTCCAGCTCCGAACTAAGCCGGGGGGCACATGGCGACGCCACATCAGGCAAGCCCATGAGAAGTGTAAAAAGCCAGCGTTCGTTCAACGAATGATCTTAAACAATTTTCACAGACACCGAGAGGAAGGTAAACGCTATGTTGTGAATGGTTAAAAACGTAGGAGTGAGGCGATCGGGTGTCATCTAATGTAGTCGAACACAGCCTGTCTTTCACTGCAATCTTAACTCCCCTCAAGGAAAAGACATCAGGAACAACGAAAGTAGCAAGAGGCGCACAGCCTTGCTCATCCACCCTCTCTTCACGTCTTCTTCAAGCAGCTCTACACGTCTAGAAAGCGAGAGGAATAATCTGCCATAATGACCGGGTCAATCTACTAGTGCTCAACCTCCAAGGTGTAAAGGAAAGAAGAGAATTCAAGAGAAACAGAATCAGGTCTCAAGAGGGGAACGTCTAAGACCCCGAAACCCCCATCAACACCCCCTTTCCCTGCACTGCATTTTGATTCACCCCCGAGAGGCTCAGAAGACCAACGCAAGTGTGCGCGCGGGTAGCTTACGTCGACCAATCGAAACCTGTATTCCCCTCCTGCCTGGCAGGCAGCGGCGACGAAGCTGACAATATTCAAGAAAGTGTATCAAGCCAGGGTCCAGAACCAACTACTTGAAGCTGAGCAGTACTTCCGCGTCGTACCCTTCACTGCATTTCGAACCCACTCAGAGGCGACGGGACCATGAGCTGGCATGGGCATTAGGGTCTCACAACACCGGGAGGGGCATCGAGACCAACCTGGAAGATGTAAGTGGCTAGGATTGTAAAAGCGAGGCCAGCGGCACACCGAAGTCTTGTGAGGTAAGCTGAGGGGTACTTCACTGCAATCTTAACCCCCCTCGAGAGACTGAGATCACCAGTAAAAAGAAAAAGAAGCAGGAATCAGGCAACTGGTCCGCCAAGTAAATGTTCTCGCACCAAGCAGTTTTGCCCATCTCAGAGAGTCAAGAGTAACATTCGGTGACGAGCACCAAGTCAGCCTGCAGGCAGTCAGCCTACAAACCAACACCACAATTCAAAGTGTAAAAGGCCCGAGACCAGTCACAGGCCTGGCCTCTTCACTGCATTCCGAAATTGAATGAAGGACTTGGGTGACTTGATACCTCGGGCTTGGTTAAGCAATACGCCAATCTGCCGGTGTTCAGGCCAACAACCCATCAACGCCCGTCTCTCTCTATCCACTGTCATCACTGCCCAGTCACCGGCTCACACGTCTGGACACAGGTGTGTCGGGACACACTTGAGTCCAACCTGTAAGCTTCACTGCGTTTTAAACCACCCCCAAGAGGCTGAGAAGACCAGCGCAACTGCATACACAGATAGAGTCAGTAGCAGCAATGCTGTCAGCATCAAAGGAAAGTCGGCGCTCACTAAGTGGAACAGGCAACAGTGGCGTAGACCCCTATGCGGGTTGTACAGGCCCGTCAACCAATTGGGCCATTTTGGGTGGAGGTCATTCACTGCATTTTAAACCCACCCAAAGGCAGAGGAATAGCGTCGAGCTTCTCCGGCGAAACATGAACTGCTGCTCAACACTACCTAGCCCCCCAACCCAGGCTGCGGCCCATGCGGTGACACCATGGCAGGGAAGCCAAGACTTCCAAGTGTAAAAAGCCAGCTTGGGTCCAACAAATCATATCGACTAATTTTCGCAGACACCGAGAGGAAGGCAAACGTGGTGATGTGAGTGGCCAGAAGGGTGAAGTGAGGCAAGCAAATACTCCGACTTTGAGGTCCGTGTCGCACCTTCACTGCAATCTGAACCCACCTCGAGGGACTGCGATCACAAGTAGCGTAAACGACGAGGGACGGACGCGCAGCCTGGCCAGCTCGAGATCACTCACTCTACGTCACAGCTCTTCTGCCCGAACGACCGAGTCAACCTGCCAGCACACAGCCCGCACGGCAACACCACAAGTGCAAAAAGCCAGCATTGATTCAACAATCTCAATTCTCTTTCCCCCTCGAACGTATCATATACACACGCCAGCCTCGCCAGCCCTCCCTCTCCCTCAACCTCAACCTCCTTTCTTCCATCTCCTCTAAGACTTGTTCGCCGGCGCAATAGCAAAAGTAGGACGCACAAATCTATCAACCACCAGTTAGCCTTCCCTTTCCAAACCATCCCGCAATGAGCTACGTAGGAGACGAAAAGACAAACCTGTCAGAGTGGTACACCTTGGTGTTCTGCCCAAGCAACTCCTTCTCCCGCGCCTGGTCGGCGTAATACCTGCGGACCTGGTCGCGGTCCTCCTCGGCCTGGAGGAGGGGGATGAGGTGGATGCGCGCCCACATCTTTTCCCTCGCGCACTCGCTGTTGTTTCCCGGTCAGCGTCAGTTCATTCCGTATCCCTCGACGGTCTTGTGTCTCGATCTCTGGTGACGGGGCCTTCGTCGTAGAATTGGTGTATGTGTGGGAGTGTTCGGAACAGGGTAAAAACGTACTTGGCTTCGCGGATACCCTTGATCAGGTGGTACCATCCGTATCCCATCACGAGTCCCATACCGAGCAGCATCGTGCCGGGACGGAAGCCGCGGGCGGGCAGGTTGCGCTGTTTCACCCCCGACCTTCGTCAGCCTTTCTCGTTCTTCCCAAGTATTCGCAGTCTCTCTTCTTGACGTCGTGACCCAATGCCTCCCTCGCGTCCCTCCCATCGCAGAGCAGCATCATCATCATCCCGGAACTCCCTCCTCTTCCTGATAATCCCCTCCCTCCCACAAACCCCGTCGCATCCACCCTCCCAATCCCCTGAGCAGGCAAGAAAAAGCTCACCTTGTACTGCACGGCCTGGTACCCGCCGACGGGGGGCATATCCTGAGGCATCTTGAACACTCGATATCCTACCGACCCAACGCGGTCGGCTGCGCTTTTCGATTCGTGCGTGCTCGTGTGTTCGTATGGGTGTAGTAGTCAATTGCTCCGTTCTCGACGTTCGGAGGCCAATTGAATTCAACTCGATCGATGTCCGGCGGTTCGGTCGGCTCCGGTTTCGAGGAGGAGGTTGCGATGGTGACTGACGTCGGCGGGGGTGGAACTCGAAAGGGTAGGCAGGCAGGTCGAGCTTGAGGTTTTGGCCGGGCGGAATGGGTGTGCCTGAGGTGATTGTTTTCGGGTGGATTGTGATTCGCTGGATTGGGCGGGATTATGTAAGGATACCGAGGGAGGCCCCACTTGGTCGCGTACACCGACATACACCGACCGGTACAAAGTCAAGACCTCGGTGAGCTGCTTGCAATCACCTCAATTTCAGCACAGAATGGAACACAGCAGCGTTTTGACACGTAGATAAATCGAGGCCGTGATCCAAAGATCATTCGCCACGCCCATGTTCTCTATCTCTCAATCCCAAATCCATACTGTACTCATAAATCCTACAAGTGTTTGCACATCTCAACTCCATGCCATGCATCGCCAATGGAAAAAAGGCTGGGTATAAACCGAATGAACCATAGCCAACCGACTTTTCCACCTCCACTTCTGCGAAAACAAATATCTCGAAGTCCTTCAGCTTCTTATATGCAACTTCATCCCCTGGGGATAGACCCGTTAATCATCTCCAGCAGCCAGCAACTCGGCCTCCAGATCCGCCTCGAGATCGTCCTCATCAAAGTCGGCGCCGTTGTCGAGGTTGACGGCGCCGTCGGGCAGAAGCGATGCATCCTCCTCGTCGCCCGTAACTTGAGGCGTAGGAAGGCTACTCGACTCGTTGTCGTCGGCGTTTGGTGTCCTGACCGAGCTCAGCTTTGAGGCTCCACGGCTCTTGGCCACTCGTTGCTTCTTTGACAGCGCACTGCCTCCTTCATCCGAAGCGTTGTCGTCGTCCACGGCCTTTCTCTTCAAGCCAGTGGCAGAGCTGTTCGATTGCTGAGATGAGGGCAGTTCGTCGCCAGATTCCGTATCTCCACTTCGGCTGTCCGTTTCCGCGTCTGAGCTGTCGTCATCGCTGCCGAGGAACTCCTTCATTTCATCGTCGACACCTTCCCAGTCGAAACTCTTGAGGCCGTCGATCGGGCTGAGCTGGCCATCTTCAAACTCGGGCATCACATTCTCTTCATCTCCGTCTTGGTCGCCGTCATCCTCGTCCGACGCGTCCTCATCTTCCTCAAGCACGCGCTGTTCGCCCGTCTCGTCAATAATGGTTAAGGACGGCCTCGACTGGTCATCGCCGTCGACGTCGGATACTGTCTCTGCGTCTGTCGTTTCTGAAAGGGCCATCTGCCGTCGGTCTGCGGGGTGGACCTCGACAAGGTATGGCGCCTCGTCGAGATGTTGCCATTGGCTCAGGCAGTCACTCAGCCAATTTTGGCTAACAATCTTGATGGTACTGATCTTGGCGGCTTGCCGAACTTTCTGTGTCCGCGGCCGTGATGTCGAGATGACCAGATGTGTCACCTTCTTCGACACCTTTGTCTGGATCTGTGCGCCGAAGCTCATCGCTTGGATGCCGATCTCAGACTGTAAGACATCGACACCAAGAGGAACCAAGCCGGACAAGACGATCGTGGTGCCCGCTAGTGTTGCCGCCTTCATTGTGTCCAATACGAAGCCGACGTCCGGAACGGCAGAGAGATTGATGACCTCCTCGGTCTTCTTCTTGGGCGCCGACTGCTGAGGCGCAGCCGCGCGTTTCTCGTCATACTCCTGGTAGAACTTCTCGTGTAAACGCGTAAGGTGTTCTTGCAGATAAATCAGTTCCGCGTCGTCGTCACGGAGGACTTGCTGTCGGTGCTGCACTGTCATGATTTGCGCGCCGTCTTCGGTTTCCTGTGTAGCCTTCTCCTTCTCTTCGTCCTCCTTGTCGAGTTGCTCTTGCATATGGAGCAGGGGTCGTTCCTTGATCTGTTGCTCCAAGGACTTCTCCTGCTGCTGCGTCTGAGCTTCCTGCAGAGCCTTGTCCTCGCCGCTGCTCATGTTGACGAGCTCGTCAATGGCAGACACCTTGCCGTTGGTCTTCGGCTCTGGTTTGGGAACAGCTGCTGGAGGCGGTGCGGGCGCGATGGGTGCAGGTGCCGGCTTGGTTTCGGGGGCGGGCGACGCAGGGAGGATGTCTTGACGCTTCGGAAGGAAACTTGAGTTAATGTCGCCGATGCCTCTGAAGAAGTCGTACGGAACGACCTTGATAAGATTGGGTCGGTTGCGTGGCCACACGTCGGCTCTGTCATCGATGATGACGACCATGTTGGTGTTGACAGGGAACAACCGCTGCAGACTCTTGGAAATCATGCTGCCGTTCTCATCACGACTGATTACGCGGTTGCCGAACAGCTTCCTGTCGGGATCGACAATCTGTGCGATGTTCATCGCGTATGCGCGTGTTCCCATGGTGTAGACGTGAAGCTCGTACAGCTCCGCGATCTTCTCCAGGAACTCCTTCAGACCGGGTCGCATCTTGATGTAGTACCAGCAGCCGGATGTGACCACCCCTCTCGGGCCTTCATCGTTCAGTTGGAACTTCTTCACGTCCTTGACGGCCTCGTAGTTGGGATTTGTCGGGTCTTCCATCCACTCGCCGACTGTGGGTTCGATACAGGCGTGGATGATGGTCTGGTCGAGATCGACGACGAGGCTCAGTTTGCGCTGGCGGAGGAGACGCTTCTGGGTGTCGTGCTCGGCGCGGGCGGCCAGGTCGCCGCTGACCATGAGTCCGGTCTGGTCGTGTGTCATGTTGATGGTGGCGCGCTGGGTATCGCGTTGGTCGCTGGCCCAGTTGACTTCCGTCATGTCCTTGCCGCAGATGGCGCAGAGACCTTGGAACTGGATCTCGTGGGAGCATGCCTCCTCGACAACCATGCAAGGCGCGTCTCGCGTGAAGGTCATGCCTTCCTTCAGACGCCACTCCTTGATGGTGCCTTCAGCAGGGCTGTCCCAGCCGACGACGGTCGTCTCCTCCTCCTGCCAGGTGTTGCCGGCGATGGGGTCGCCGACCTCGCGCATCCATTTGAACGAGTACTCCAGGACGCTCTCTTGTTTTGCGACAGCATCGCCGGGTTTCTTGAGTATTTTTGTGATGGTAATCGGGTAGCGCAGCCTTGCGCCGAGAGATAGTAGCTTGCCCATGACGACGGGTAGCTAACTGGGAGGAATGTTTAAAAGTCTGCGGCGTGAAAGGTAAAAGGTCAGCTCTTCGGCTTCGAACACGAGCGCGCAAGGGGGAGGTAGGTGACGGGGTGTCAATTGGAGCGTCACGGGTTCACAGATAGTGACGACGAGACAATTCGCGGCTTCATGCAGATGGAAAAGACGGGGAAGCAGAATGCGACGAACCTAAAAGGACTCCCCCAGTCACAGTCGAAGAAGGTGCCGGTGATGTCTCCAATCCCATGGCCTTAAGCTTCGCGCGACAAGTTGGAGACGCAACAGGCGGGGCAGCTCTGGAGCGTGGCGTGCAGGGCGCGACAGAGCAAGGCAGAGAGCTTCAAGCTGGTCTTGTTCGGGTCTAGGTGGAAGAAAGGGATGATGAACACGCGCGAGAATCCGGCACGGTTTGGAGAATTGGGCGGGTTGAAGGTGGACACTTCCTAAGCGGCGCAATTGACTTTGGCGATTGGTGATGCAATTGGACGGGCCCTGAGGATTCCAGAGCTCCGGAATTGACGTTGCGCGTAATCGAGGAGCTTGACTGCTTGAGCAAGTATCTCGATTCAGTCTCAGGTTTGTTGTCGTTTACAGATTGAAACTGTCTAGTCGTGATGGAAGTTGAAGCTTCGGGTTGTCTTGCAGAGCGTGGACGGGGTGGTGGAGCGTGACGCAGTCTGCAAACGGAAAGGGCAGGTCAGGTAAGGTAAGGTGAGGTCCGGTAAGGAAGGGCCAACCGGCGAGTCCAGACGCAACGGAGTGGGGTCGGGTGTCGCGGTTAGAAGCACAGACCAGTTCGCTCCGGAATTCCGGGATTTGGTTGTTCCGGGCGTTTGCAGGGGTGGGCCTGAGGGGGCCGATTTGCGGTCCGTGAAGTGGGGCGGGACTCCAGTGAGTGCCGGGCACGGGAAAGGCGCGTAGAACGGTACCTTGGCGGCGTCAATCGCAGGTATTTCTACCTCGGCGTCTTCGGTGCTCCGAGACCGTTGGGTGAACAAGATAAGGTGACGACGTCGAAAGGTTTGTGTGAGTACAACTAATGACTCTTGAATGATGACTCGATAATTTGAGAGATGATTTGTCGTCTGAAGAGTTTGCGTCTTCCTTATGTATGACTCGTCGTGGTGCTGGAGCTGTGGTGTGATGCACTTCGTAATGTTGAAGAAGCTCCCGAGTAGAGGCAAACAAGTACCAGTACCAATACCAAACAGGCCAAGTACAAGACGGAGAGCTGGACGGGAATAGTCTTTGAAAAAATAGAGGCGACTCAACCACTATCAGCCGTGCCACCCCCTTCTGAAAGAGTGGGATGCTTCGGCCTATTTGTACCTGCCGTAGCACCCTGCCGCCTATGCAGCTGATGGCGCCAGCCGGCAGCAAGTGGTTTGATGATGATCCCTGCCCTGCCATTCTTTTGCACCCTTGTCATTCCCCAACTTTTCTCTCACACAATCCAACTTGCTGCTGCTGCTGCTGCTGCCTCTCCACCTCCGCTGATGCAGGAGCTCTGCTCTGCTCTGGCTGTGAGGTCCATCATCCACATTCTCATTCATGCTGTTCAGGTACCCAGTCACACAATGGCTGACTACACTACACTTGCTGGGTAGATCATGAGATAGCCCCCCTGGTGGTGAATCACGTGCACGCATATTCACACCCATCAAAGACTCTCTCACCCAAACTCCTCACACTCAAGAGTAGTTGTGAACACCTTAAAACCTATGAAAGAAGCTGAGAAAGCCTTACATCTATCTCATCAATCAAAGAGACTTTTACCCCAGCTATCCTGATCTGGGGTAAAAGCTCTAATCTGCCATCCCTGGCCAACCTGACAGGCCACCACCAGCTGCATCCATGACTCTTCTCCTCAGTGTGGCGTGTAATCTGCCTCTCACATGAGCAGCAGACCCCTCTCTCTGCATCATCTCCTGATCTTGAAAATACATCAAAAAGCACCCCATTTCTGAGAGACTGTTTGTTGCCTCTTCATCAGCATCTCTAAAGTGGTGCTCAGCTACTTTGATTTAATCGAGATCAAGATGCAACGCAATACCCCGCTGCCTGCGAGTTCCTGTTTGGCCCATTTCACTCCTCCTAGTGACATTTACCGATTACTTGCAATAACTTGGTTGATGATGTGCGATGAGCCTCATTCGACTGCCGTAAATAGCAACTCAGTCACAACTATCCTATGAACACCCGCACGGACGGTCAGTAAAAATCATAATGGAGTATTAATGTACTCTCTATCCATGAGTATGAGTGCCATGGTTCCGTGTCCCTCGGCTTCTGGATCACGCCGTCACCATATAAACCGGTCGTCAGTGGGCGGGGGGGGGGGGGGGGGGGGGGGGGGGGGGGGGGGGGGGGGGGGGGGGGGGGGGGGGGGGGGGGGGGGGGGGGGGGGGGGGGGGG